ACCCTGAACCAAAAATCCTACAACACGAAAACCCCCAGCTAAAACCCTTAACCCGCGCAGCGACGAACCTTCCTAAGCCCGGCAAGTGGCATCGGCAACCTTCGTGCAGGTCTGGACAGGCAGCATGATCTCTTCTTCTCGGCCTCCAGGGGAGAATGCGGGTTTAGGGTTTAGCGTTTAGGGTTTCGGGTTCGAGCGGCACAGGGATCGATAGGCACAAGCCCAAACAGGAAGAAGCTGATTCTGGTGAAGCAGAAACCATGACCAGTCGTCGGTGGTGACAACCGGGGCCCGTGCCAAAGACCTTCCTTGGTATTGGGGTTTGCTTTGATTCTGAGTTCTGCCGAAGACGAATCGACAGGAAATGCCACGAACCGTGCTCTCAACAAAAAACCACCAAGGGAGTGCATCCCGGCGTCAAGGTAATCATCCTGAAGGTGGTGCTGAACTGCCGGCCCTGGGGCATCGTGCCTGATAGACAAAAGTGCTTCGGAAACCCGGGGGGGGGGGGGGGGAGTTTGCAAGAGGGTCGGGCTCACTTTGCTGGATTATAGTCTTCAACTCAAGCCGCCACAGTGTGTACTAATGCTTCTTCACCTTTGCCACTGGCACCTGGTCGCACGTTTTGCCAGTCTGGGTGGAAGACATGCATGCCTCGGTCCAGCTCGAGCCCAGGCAATGCGGCAAAGGCGGTTCAACTTCAAAGTTCTCAAAAGCTCAGATTCACACCCATGTTGGTCATGATGGCCATTCTCTCCAGGGCCTGCAGAGGTGAGTCGCTTCGTTTTCTTAAATTCGGTACCTGACATCGAATGTCTTCTGCCTCCTTCCGGTGCTCCCGGAACGAGATCCCTGGAGAAGCGCTCCGCTGCCGCGCCGACACTGCAGGCAGGATGAAAAAAGTGATGCTGAGCAGGGTTTAGGGTTTCGGATTTCGGGTTTAGGGTATCGGTAGGATTTGTAGAAGCGATGATGGGGAAAGATCTTGAACGAGCGCGCAACCAAATGCTCTGTCACGATTTCCTGCCCTTTTGCCACCGCAGACCCGCCGTATATTGCTGGCCACGAGCACAACAAAAGCAGTCTGACCCCGGCCCCGGCAAATGTGAGGAGGACATCTGCCATCGGCTCGCGACTCCCCACTTTTGGAGGAATATTCGTGAGGAGCTCCAAGGCAGGAGGGGGAGACTGGTGTTTCTTTTTTCCTCTCGCCGCGGGCAAGGAGCACGCAGCGACAGCAAAATCTAAGACTTCGTCGCTGCTTCAGTACTTTCACTCAGCTTATGCAAAGTTGTACTGTGATCGCGATCTCGATGAAGCTGTTGACAATGTTGATCCAAACGGGTGTGGATCACTTGCCTTGGCAGTCATGCTCCTCATGCCCACATCGGCATCGTCTGTCTAGACCCTCGCCAACCGTGTTGACAAGAAAGTGCACAAACAGGTCAGTGTTGTGAGGGACTGCAAGTCATCTTTCGAGCTGTTCTCAGCATCGGCCACTGCATGAGCTTTGGATAGTAGGCAAACAGAGAGGCAGCTGAGGCCAGGACAAGCCCTTGCAGCCGCGCCTGGCAAGTGCTTAGCGCTACCCGCATCAGTTTTCCGGTTTTCATTAGATTGCAAAAAAGCAACACCAAGCAACTGCTGCCTTGAAAGAGTCTGAGGTCGCTGACGCAAGATTTCATCAATCCTGATCAACCCCAAACCATCCCACACCACAGCCTGCTGAAAGCGCTGCACGCTCTGCTTGCAAATTGGACACCTGCTGCATGGGCTGGCTTTTGAAGTGATGGGCGTTGTGGATGAGGGTGTTGGCTGTTGGTGGCAAACATTTGACAAGTGAAGCTCTCCATGTCCCTTGTCAAGACTAGCTTGCTGTCATAACCACATGGGTTGAACCCTCTTTTGCGAGAGGCTGCATGGGCAATCTCTCAACCCTCAACATTGTCTTTGTGATCCTTCCGCCTGGTGTCTGGGTGAAGCACGCCGTCCTTGCGTACCCCCAACAAGCGTTGCCGTTACAGCCGGATTCAGCTCTTTAGGAAGCTGCACTGCCGCTCTTGAGACAAGCGTCTGCGACTTGATAGCGTTTAGAGCACCACACGCATACCTGAGTCGCGTGAATCCAGGACCACAGCAACTCTCATGTGCAGAGAGGGGAAGGTCGTCAGCCAAGGCTTTTTGAAAACTCTCAATGCATGTCAATGCCCAAGGTGCCAGGAGATGCCCGCATGGTAGGCACACCGTATCCGCCGGGGCCTAGCAGTACATGCTGTGAGGAGCCAGCGCAAGCACTGCCCCAATCCTCCTGTGCTTGAAACAGGCTGCACTTGACAAGCGATTGAAGGATGCTATTGGCAAGTTTGGTAGTTGCAAGGCCTGACGGCACACAATGCAGGGCCCGGTGGAAGGTGGATACCGGGGTCGAACCTGCACCACATCTCAGCTGGGGTACAAAAGCTGCAAGGACTAGCGGGAGGCTCGAAAACAGCCAGCGGGCCGGAATCATTCAGATGGTATCACATTATATACATACACACACAAACACATATACACACATGCACACATGCAGACATACACACATACACATACGCATACACATACACACACACATACACATACACATGCACATGCACATACACATGCACATACATACACATACATACACATACAAACATACAAACATCCAAGCATACAAACGTACAAACAAACAAATAAACACACATACCTACGTACATACATACATACATGCATACATACATATACACATCTATATAAATAAATAAACAATATATATATATATATATATATATATATCATGAACATATCTACGTAAACAGTGCAGCTACATTTACATCCTCTTGGCGTGTTTTGGGGATATGGTTGAGGTTGTTGACATTGGCATCGTATATGTTCGCGGAATGATTGCTGATAGACGCCGTGATGAGACATGTATTCACATATTGGGCGGAGACTGGCCACAAATGTCACAAGCTGTCGCTGTCACACCTCGACCCCGACTCCAGCCCGTGCAAGTTCATGAAATTCAACCTCTATGGGCCTACCTCAGCTGTGTGACAGAACTGCTAGAACCTTTGGAACCGTACAGGCCGCCAGTCAGTTTGGTGCAGCCGCACGGCCGATCGAGTGCTGAAAACATCTGAGCTCATCTCTGGGTCCTGGCAAGGCGGTGCAAAGGCGGTGGACTCTATTTGCACTGCAAGAGGAGATGACAACGAAAAACGCGAAGCTCCCGCTTCCCCTCTTGGGCTGGCACCACGAGGCTCCGGCGGGAACTCACCGATGCCAGGGACCCGAACTGGACAAGCGGGATGGGGCGAGATGGACATCCGACTGCGTTTAACTGTCAGGAACATGTTAAACGACAAAGGGGCATGGCCAAAGATAACATGTTTGAGTATGTGTAGGACTACGTAGGCACGACTCTACAGACCATAGATAAAGTAGACAAGTATGGAGATAGTAGGAGATAGGCAGATAGATACATGAAGTGCCTGATCGCTTGTTTCTCAAGGCTGCGCTTCCCAGATGCTGAACAGAGAACCTGAAGAAAAGCCGAAAACTGTTTGCTTTTCTACCCAAGTTGACCGGTCCTGCGGCTCATTCGTGCGCTTGAAGCAGCATGAGCAAGCAGTGTTCCTGACGACTTCAAAGGTGGGGGGCAAGGCAGGAGAGGCCATTGGATAGCATTTCCAAACGATGCCATGATCATCGAGAGATTCTATGAAACTTGCACTTGCCGATCCCGCGGCTACGGTGACATGACTGAAGCTTGCAGCCAAGGGGCACAGGGCCCTGGCCCATGGCTGCCGAAAGCCAAGGAGAGGGTACTGCGAGAGGACTCTGTGAATCGAGTGTACCACGAGGCTACAGTGTCATCTGGAATGATGTTCTGACAGCCACACCACAGGTGCTTTGCCTAGACTCTAGACCATCGGGTCTCGGCTTTTCTATGGGTTTTGACTCGAAAAGAACATGTGCAGCGTGAGCGTATATGTTCGACAAAATCTTGCTCTATGCAAGTCGCGCTCAGCCAAAGCTGCGGAACATTCGGCAGGGCGCAGCGGCACATCATATGGGCAAGCTGCCGACGGTCGCCCCTCTGCAACGTAGGCATCTGGAGAACTCACATCGGACTGCCTGCAAGCGCCATGCCTGGCTTCTTGCGCCACCAAGCCTGGGTCTAGGGTCTAGGGTCTAGGGTCTAGGGTCTAGGGGTCTAGGGGTCTAGGGTCTAGGGTCTAGGGTCTAGGGTCTAGGGTTTAGGGTTTAGGGTTTAGGGTTTAGGGTTTAGGGTTTAGGGTTTAGGGTTTAGGACTCCAAAAGCCCCTGGAAAGCTCTGGCTGAGCTGAGGCTCAGGCCCTGGTGGAAGTCCACGGCCAAAGACTTTGTAGAGTGTCTTTTGTGCGTGCCTTTTGTGTTCTTGGCGTCTTTACATTCTTGCGTGGCAGGTATTTTGTGTGCTGAAGATGCGTCAAAGAATTTGGCTCAATGTTGACGGGGTGTCTAGATGCCAGGGTACAGGCTGCAAGACCTGATTCCAAAGTGGGGACATACAGCGGCGCATGAAGATTTGCTGGAACAAAGGCTTTGCTACGTCCCTGGGTGAGCCCAGCCTCCGGTGTCATCTGAGCATACAGCACACTACCGAAACAAGCACTGGAACAATGCATTGGGTGAAGAAGGAGAACCCTAAACCCTAAACCCTAAACCCTAAACCCTAGAACCATCTCCTTTGCCCTTAAATACTGTCTGAGCCTGCGATGCTCAGGCTTTGGCGTGCGACCCTTTTGTGTGAAACACCGCTTGGCGGGATAAGTGGCCGTAGAGAACCTCTGTCGGTTTCAAGAGGTGCCAGTGACGGCAGAGCAATCGTCCACAAGGGCATGCACTTCAGTGAGGCAGGCCTTGGACAATCTGTGTTATGAGATCTCTGCTCCGCAGCCAAGACTGCAAAGCAGAGGTTGTTGACTCGGGCCGGTGCCACTGTTCGTGTATGTCAGTTGATCTATTGCGTGATGCAGGGTGCGGCACAGGTCTGGAATACCTTCCGACTCTATCGGGGGCAAAGCCACGTAAGCAGCCTCTGCCCAAAGCGCCACATCTTGTGCACTCTCGCAGATCTTCTGCGCAAGTGGCTTTAAGGTTTCTGGTGGGCGCGGCTCCCGATACTACAACTCTGTTGAGGACATCTTGAGCTGTGCTATCACAAGGTTTGCAGAGCCACACGTTGCCTGGACTAACGGTTTGTACCATGCATGTTACGCAAACACACCCATGCATCAGAAACCTACACGCTCGGCGGGTTAGGTTCCAGTAGTCGAAGGGCTGCAAGCGCCTCTGCTTCAGCGAGCTCAGCTTTCCGCCTGGTGCGGCTGGAGATCCGCAATGCCAGTCTCTGAGGCACTTGGGCACTTAGGGCGCATGACATCCTGGGGTGCTATCCCATTAAGACAATGACATGCAGGGGACTCTTCGGACACACATGTTTGCGCCATTTGGTCAATCATTATTAAGGGGATCCGAAGAGCCAGCGGGGGATTCGAGGGTTTGTTTGCAACCCAGGGCCGGATTGTTTCAAAGCCGACGATCAGCTCTATGCTTTACGCTTGAGGCCCCTGTGCCCTGAGCCCGTTGTTTCTCAGCCTTGTCCACGGACTCCTTGTGCTTCCGAGGGAGGTCCTCGATGATGAGCATCTCCTTTTGGAGCGAACAAGAGTTTAGTCTTTCGAACGTTGTGAAGGAGAACTAGCACAACTGTGGAACTCAAACATTGATGAAGATTGGTTAGCACCGGTAGAATTAGCCCTTAAGCTGAGCAGAACGAGATCGGAACAGACTGTGAGGAGATCTCTGTGGCAATGGGAGAGCGGATTCTGAGTCCATCCTGTGGAACACTCAGCTGCGCCGCGAGCCTGCAGTGCTTCGAAGAGCTGGCAAAGCAATTTCAACGACAGGCAGCATCCTGTTTCTTCGCGACCGATATTGTAGCTTTGCAAGCTGCAGCACTAAGAACTCATGCGCGCAGCACGCTCAGTAGTTTCATGAGAATCTCTGGGCCGCAGACTGTGTAGGTCAAAGTAATTATGCTTGTTGTTATTTTAATGTTTGTTTTGTTTGATAGACAGCTTGCATTTTGAAGCTTTCTTCTATGTGTTTTTCGGGTTGCCTTTTTGCCTCATTTCTTGTGTGTGTGCTAGATGGTTTGCATTTTTGTTTTAGCGAAAACAGGCGTTGCGCTCTGCGTTTATTGTGTATGCATCCACGGATCGTGGATGTTCGGCTCCGTGCGTTCGTTTGTCATTGCAATGTGATGTGGTAATGTGCCTGCACTCTGCCTGGAAGTTACTTTACTTCGCTCATCCCCACCCAAAAGCTTACCAAAGTGCTTCCAATTACGTTTGGCACTAGAAGTACTACTGAGTAGTTGAACAACGTATTGCTTCGAGAACTGCTACATGCTGTTACATATATGTAAATAAACTATTTTACTTCGAACATCCCCACCCTCTCTTGGTAGAGATACTCTGGGGTTGGGCACTCCAGGGACACTGTGGGGCTGGGCACGAGACTCTGGGGTTGGGCACTCCAGGGAGACTTTCGGCTGGGCACTCCGGGGACACTCTGGGGTTATGATGCCCGATAGCTTATAAGACAGGGACCCCTCAAGTTCGCCAAAACATCGCCGCCAAAATCGCCGAAAAATCGCCGAACAATCGGCCAAAAAAGCCTTGGGTTTTGGAGACATCAGAAGGTTTTTTTTTCAGATTCTGGGGAAATCAAAACAAATTTGCTTTGATTTCAGAGAAATCAAAACGAACTTGCTTTGTTTTCGGAGAAATCAAAACAAACTAGAAGCTAATTCGGAGCTTCCGACCTGGGGATGCATTTTGCGCCAGGACGATCAAAGCATTCTGGCGTGATTGTGGTCGATTTTTGGTTGATTTTTGGTCGATGTCTTGATTGATTTTTTGATCGATTTTGAGATTGCAAAAACTTTCCGGTATAAGAATTTCCCCTTATAACAGCAATCCCAAGATCGACAAAAAATCGAAAATCATTCGGAAAAAAATCGCCGCAAAATCGAATGATCAGAAGTTCGATTTTCAGAAAACGAAATAAAATCGGTCGGGCCAAGAAATCGAAAAAAATCGGTGAATTCGATTTTCAGAAAATCGAAATAAAATCGATCGGGCCAAGAAATCGGGAAAAATCGGCGAATTCGATTTTCAGAAAATCGAAATAAAAACGATCGGACTGAGAAATCGAAGAAAAATGCTATTATGTATTTTGTTGGATTCGGGGCTCATCAGGCTGTTTAGGTTCGATTTTTGATTTGATTTTTCCGTGATTCTTTTTCGATCTTTTTTTCGATTTTTTAACTTTTTGCTGGTTTTGCAAGATCCCTGTCTTATAAGGCTATCGGGCATCATAACTCTGGGGTTGGGCACTCCAGAGTTGGGCACTCCAGGGACACTTTGGGCTCCAGGGATGAGCGAGGAGTAGACCGGGCGAGGAGAAGAGTTCCGGGCGAGGAGAAGAGTTGAGCTTAAAATCTAACAACCCCACACCGAGGGTGGGGAATAATACATATACATACATACATATATGTATATATATATATGTATGCATGTATGCATGTATGTGTGTGGGTGTGTAAATATGTATATGTATATGTATATGTATATATATATATATAACTATATATATATGTAGATATTCGATTTATTATTCTATCGATGTAGCTTGGACATGTAGACATCCCCTACAACCCCATGACTCTCCGAATCATCCCATAACTTCATATATTCCACTCACCTGGCTTGCTCAATTTGAGAACCCTTACGGCCTTGGGCGGTACTCATTCAGCTGCGCGGCCAAGCCCGCAACCTTGTGACTTCACTGATCCCTACGCTCAGTTGTTAGACTTCGCCCCTATCTCTTGCACTGTACATGCATGACATTGAACCAGGTAGACAATCCGCCGAGGCCTCGGGCCGTAGGTGTCCGCGCCGGTGTCCGCGCCCGCCCACCCACCCTCCAATCTCCCGTTCCCCGGCTCTTGTTCTTCCACGTCCACGTTTGGGGTGCCGGGTCTATACATGAGCCTGCGTGTTACAACAGGCTTCACACCCGCGATCTCCAGTTTGGCTTGCCTCGCTGCTGGGCAGGCCCAGGACGAGGCGGGTCGCGTAGCGTCAAAATTACCAGCGTTGGTTGCTTTGGTTGTGATGGCTCGCAAATTGACTCTCTGAGCTGCCTCTTCACAGACTGGGAACATCGACTGTGGACCTGAAATCTATGGGGTCTACAACTACGTCTTCTGGAGAACAAAACCTTGCAAGACGCCCATCCGGACACCAACTTCCTGAGAAACAAGCCCACCAAGGTCCTGTCAAACGCCTTCGTGCTGCCCTCAACCCCCAAACAGGTACCCTAAGTGGGGTCTTGGAAATTCGGGGCTTAGGGGCATACAGAAGACATTGAGACTCCCTCTCCCCAAGTAAAACAAACTCCGTGGCCGCCGCCTGGCCCATGAGGAGCCGGAGGTCGGCCCCGCCGGACTCGATTCGGGCCTGGAAAAGAAGGTTTTCTCTTGCCACACGCCTGGAGAAAATGAGCATGTTGTGTTTTTTCCGCTCCCGCAGCTGGCCGAACTGCAGGCAGGGTCTGAATGTGCTTTTAGGGTTTATGGCTGTCCTCCTTTTGGGCGTTGTGGGGCAGTTGTCACAGCACGGCTTGAAGAATGTCCTACCAGGTCCTATCGACCCTGCGAGACTTGGACAGGTTTGACCCGATAAATGGCCTTCTGCCAGGTTAGCCACGGATCGTTTTTCCTGGTGTCGTACCTGTGAAGCAAATGCTGCTGACCATGTCTTAACGCAGACCATGCATGGCTTTGTTGCAGGAGGCGCGCAAGTCCAGATGGTGTCAATGAGATGCCGGGTTCTGATACATCATTACATGCGCAAGGCGCAAAGGCCATGTTATCAAGGTGCCCAGGTCCCACATGGAAAACGGACGGGTTCTTCCATCTCACATCGAGAATGACAAAAGGCTCTATAGAGAGAGCTTCGCAGTCGTCATCATGCCAAGAATGTCGGGCGCACTTCTTCAGCTCCTGCAAAGCACACCAGGGATCACCAGGGGCCAAGGTGGCAAAACCGAAACAAGCTCAACGCAACCTGCTGCCACTGCAATGGCTCATGATATGGCTCTAAGGGGATTCCTTGCATCAAGGAAGACCCACCATCCCTTCGGCCTCAGCCAACCGATTCCTCAGGAACAAGAGGCGGTCGGCCTAGCAGAGCTGGAGGCTACGATAACTGGCATTCTGGTTTTGGTGGTACAAGGCTTTCAGAAGCTTCATGGCGGGGCGGTGGCCCTGCAAGGTGACTCGATCTCCAGGCCACACCGAATCAGCCCCGCATCAGCCTGGTTTGAAGCCTTTCCAACTCCCAGTGCCTGGTCCTGAACACCTACAGCAAAATCAGCATACTGCCATGGTGGGCGCGCCCAATACTTGTTCCACTCCGCAGTGGTCTGCGAACATCGCTGCCTGGGAAAAGATTAAAGCATTCAGCATGCGCCCCTACGTATGGAGCTGTGGCTGGCAGTCTTCCCTCCTAGGTTTTCTGAAGACACGATCCTGCTTCGACAAACCTCTGATACCCTGTCCTCAACTTACTAAACAGTGGGGGGTCTTCTTGCAACACCATTTCAACCCTGACGCTTGGGTGCACGGCAGTGTCGTCATCCTTCCCAGGATGTCTACTTCTGCACCGACATGCAAATCCCAAACGGTCACCGCCTCCAGCAAGGTCAGGAGGAGCACTCTTGACTCATGGCTAGTGGCTAGTTGACACCGACTATGGGTGAAGGATGGTGAAGGACCAAAGGAGAGAGCAACCACAAGGAGGAAATATGCGGAAATTAACAAGTTCACATAGGGGTAAGGCAGACAAGGCTGGGAGATGCTGCTTTTGTGCTGTCATCAAAATCTGTATACACCCTAAAGCCCTAAAGCCCTGAAGCCCCTGCCTCTCCGGTCCGTGCTCCATACGCCACGGGGACGTGATAGAGATTGCTGTCCTGACCGGATGTTCCACCGGCTGATTGCTGCTAGAAGTCTTGCAATCAGAGTTGAGGGATCGTTCTCTGTAATGTCGGAAGAGAATCTGGTGGAACTACCTTTTCCTAGCCTCATCGATAGCCATCTGGAAAGCGCCCTCGGTGATGCTGTACCTGGTCACAGAACCCTGTCTCCCAAGATCCCGGAAAACAGAGTCTCAGAAAGAAGGCCGCAACCTCAGGGAGCTAGACCAGCACGCCATTGAACGAAGTCCCTACAGACGTCAGTTCCTCGAACTGAAAGTCCTACCCATCATCCTATCTCGGCCGCGGCCCAGCTTGTCAGAATTTGGGACTGGAAAGCTGTTCAACTCTTCAACCCTAACCCTTCATATCCAGGGTTCAAGCCTGATGTACACGAACCGCCGATGCTTGCCCTCGTTCCTGGGCCGATCAGAGACGGGAGGGCATCTGATCATCTGTCTCAGACTGGTGGGCGTGTGTTGAGCTGCATGACAGAGAGGGATAGATAGATACATACCATACATGCATGCATGCATACATGCATGCATACATGCATACATGCATACATGCATACATACAAACATGCAAACATACAAGCATACAAACATGCAAACATACAAACAAACAACCATACATACATACATATACATACTCACACACACATTCATATATAGATATACAATCCATACATGGTGTTGTGTAACTAAGGTTGCCAAAGCTCAAGATTCTATTCGGGGCAGCCAGGGATAAAACTCGCGTATATTCTCACCGCGGCACCACCATGAGTCGAACTCCAAGCAGTGGCACCCAGGGCTGCCCGCGGGTGCGACGCCTGGGCGTCAAGGTTCGGGTGCTGGGCAGAGAGCACTTAGCGCAGGAGGGATGTACTGTTTGGCGCTTCTCTCTGCTGGTAGCTTTGGTTTTCGGTCGCTTTAGAGCTGTGGCCTGAGCCTTGCGAGGCTTGCGCTTGGTTCGACCTTTGCGGTGCTCAGCTGAATGTGTCCTTCGTCACTGTTTCCCACAATTCTTTTCTGCATATTATTCTCGCCTACTGCAAGGGACGGCAGACCAAGACAAGCCATTGCTACTTGCCAAGCCAACGTCGTCTCAACAAAGACTGATAGCCTGAACCCGCTCAGCGCTTGACTGGACAGCTCTTCATGCAGCTTGGAAGTGCTGTCGTCGATCTGTTCGGGGCCGAATGGAGGAGCAGGGCACCGCAGTCACATGCAAACATAAGAGGCGTAGGCTCGACACGTGAAGTATTTTGCAACTGCTTGTTACTGATCGATGATCTCAGCCAAAAAATAGAGCCTCTTGCCAACTTATCTTTGCCAAGTCGTACCCTCATATGCTCCACACAGCAGTCGTTCATCCGATGTTTCCATGCAAGACATTGGAACCGCCAAACAAAAAAGATCTTTCGCGTGGCCAACCTCGGCACTGCCAGCTCTAGGCTCGGCCTTCCAAAGACAGGGCGCAAGATCTTTCTTGTTTAGGTTGTAGGGTTTAGGGTTTAATTAGGGCAAAAAAACAACATGGGGCTTGAACGCTTGCGTCAGAGTTGACAGGGTTGAGGTGTGTGGTGTGCACGCTGGCCAACATCCAGGGCGAGTCGAGGCAAAGGAAAGCTGCACGTTTTGAACGGGCGCTTTGGTGTGCAATCGCTTCCTCATCATACTAATCATTACCGCCCTTCATCCCTCTTCAGAACCCTCCCTCAACCCCCTTCCCAAGCAAAGCACCCAAGTCGGTCCATTTAGCTGGGACTCTGCTGAGCAGAGGCCTGAGGCCGCGACCATGTGCCATGCACAGCTGAGCCCTTTCGATGCCAACGGCTGCCTGCAACACAAGGCATAGCAAGGCATCAGGGCATTAGGGTAATGTTGTCTGCTGATTAGTCGAAAGGATCCCGCTCTTTAGCGTGGGGGGGGGGGGGGGGCAATTTGGGGGGGGGGGGGGGTCTGGTTTTATATGATTTTAAAAGGGATGAGTTTATATGAATTTAAAAGGGATCCATATGATCCATATGATTTTAAAAGGGATGAGCTCGTATGAGTGTAAAAGGGATCCATATGATTCTAAACGGGGTGAGACTATATGAAATTAAGAGGGATCCATACGATTTTAAGAGGGATGAGTTTATATGAATTTAAAGGGGACCCATCTATCCCAACCAAGCCAGCCCGCAAAAAAAAACATAATTCCGGGGGAGCAAACTTTTTATATTATACGGCATCCGGGCAGCTGCTGGACTACCTCCTTTGAAATTTGATTGCCCGGCCTCGGTACAAAAGAATTTTATAAGGAAATCTTAGTTTTGGGTCTGGCCTGGAGGCTGAAGATTTCAGGGCCCGACAACCTCAGGCCTCAAGGTTTAGGAAACCTCAGCCCTTAGGCCTCTGGATCCAAACCCAACTAGCCCGCAAAAAAACATATAATTCCGGGGGAGCAAACTTTTATATTATACGGCATCCGGGCAGCTGCTGGACTACCCCCTTTGAAATTTGATTGCCCGGCCTCGGTACAAAAGAATTTAATAAGGAAATCTTAGCCCTGGGCCCGGCCTGGAGACTGAAGATTTCAGGGCCCGACAACCTCAGGCCTCAAGGTTTCAGCCTTTAAACTTTTGATCTTTGGTCTCTCAGGCTCGGTTCAGAAGCGGTTTATGGACGACAACACCATTCGACAGCCTCGCCGAAATTTTGCATCGCCCGATTTGTTTTCACAATTCCGGGGGTCCTCCTCACATAGATCCCCCTGAATAATTTTTGGATTATTTTCCACAATTCCGGGGGAGCACACTAATCAGGATACAACATTATTAGGTAAGCGCCAAGAGATCTGGCACTTTGTGTCTTGTTGTGCTCCCCCAAGCTGATTCCTGGTACTGGGACATGGTTCATACTACTCAGGGTGTTTGGTAGCAAGGCCTTGCACCGAAAGATCCACGGGAAAGTCGCAGCACGCTCGTCTCGGGGATCTTGAGCCAATGTGCGTCAACAATTGGCCCCGGTTCTGCAGGTGCGAATTGGTTGCGGCGGACAGTTCAGCCTCATCCGAAGGCGGGCACTGCATATCTCGGCCAAGCACTGTTCCAAGTCCAGCTTGCTTTTTGCCCTTCAAGTTAGGCACGAGATGCCAAGCCTCCAACGTGTGAAACGCAACCTCACTTCGAACTACTTTGTAGGTTCCAGACGCACCCCCCTCTGCTGTGCGGACCAGATGCAAGCAACGACAACTCCAAGTTTACCAACAACACCACATACAGCACCATTCCATTCAGACAGAAGTGGACTGCAGAAGCACAAGCCTCTTCAAATAGAGGCTCATGGTTCTGGCGGAGCCTGAAGGGGACCTATCTACGTAAACAATGTCGTGAAACCCTTGCAGGTGCTCAAGCTTTGCAAAAAGTTGCATATGGAATCTTGATGCAACCAGTTTAAACAGGTTGGCTTCTCCAAAAGTGTGTGTAGTGGGAGTTTGAGGCCATAGGGCCGACATGATTGCAAAGCGGCGGCCTGAGACGTGAGGGCAATAAACTTTGTGCTGGCAGCGCAGCATTGCCAGCAAGATGGACAGAGATTCTCGACCTGACGATGGACGACTGCGAAAGCTTCTCTGATTACCTAAACGTTTCCTGGGTCAGAACTTTGGCCTCTTGACTGCAAAGGTGACAGGCACGATGCCCGTGAGCTACTGTCTCAGCGCGCGGGACGTGTCAGGTGCTTCAATTCCAGCACCGAAAAGGAGTTGAGGGCAAATTTTGCGGCCCCGCAAGTCGTGGTGCTTGCGGCGCCAAACAACAAAAGGCTGGGATGATGAACAAGCTCTGCTGTTTCATCCAAGAGCCTCTCGGGCTTCAAGCGCTCCCCTTTTGAAGCCTATATCATACTGCCATATACCGCCCTGATGCAGCTGCAAGTGCGTGCCAAAGCTTGCAGCTTGCCATTGGCGCATGCTTTTGCACACTTGCAGTGACTTCAGCTCTGTTCTTGTTTGCAAAAAGCGCACTCGTATTGGATCGTATGGGCATGCCAGGACCCCTTAGTAAAAACGGCCCTTGGTGGCCGAGTTGGACTTCCAGGGAGCTGTGAGGTGTATCTTTGCACCCGACAGGCCAACGGGTGTGGCCATGCACGTGCACGATTTCGGAATTTCTGGGACCTGCTCAGGCCATGATGGCAAAGGAAACTCACTGCGTGTTTGGGCATGCCTGGCCTTGTTGGTCTTCCACATTCTCCTGGCCTCAGCCGATTGCCCCCATGCTGGGAAGTGCTACTGAGTGATCATGTCGCCAAGTACGAATAATTACTGACTGAAATGTCCACCGAGACACAAGCGAGGTCGGCGAGAGCGTCGGTCGCTGACGCTGCCGCACCTTGCTTTGCTCAGATGCAATGGGATATGTGCTGCCAAGATGATGTTAAGAAAGGCTTCGGACATAGGAAGTCTTTTGTTGTGATCTCGAAGATGCCCAAAAAAACCAGGTTCATTGAACAAGGCGATTCATCCGATTCTGCTTTGTGGCGCGCATGCTTGCGGTTTCGGACAAGCGGAAGCTGTCACACTGTCAGCAAGGATCTGTGGAAGTTCTGCCGCCCAGCTCGATGTGCATTGGACGTTAAGGCATGTCCGCCCCATGCTGACTCGTGTTTTGCTCTCCGCATGGCTCGGTCTCGCATCTCATATGCGCGAGAACGGACTCTCCATATAGCCGGCGCCTCGGCATGGGGCACATGGCATGTTGAGTTGTATAGGTCTTACCGACTGTCGACTGCGACCAGTGGGAGACTTGACTACGTAGACAAAATGCCACATGTGTGGCCCACATGCGCCAAGAATCTTCACCGCGGACAGCGGGAGTTCCTCCACGCTGCCAGGCGAGCAAAGCTCAGAGAGCCCAGCGATCTCCTCCTTATCGCAGGCTTCACGGCGACGAACATAGGAGCATGATGCTTTCAGGAGCCCGGCTGTTGGGATGGAGCAAGTGAGAGGCAGGGCTGTTGCCTTGGTTTTAGGGTTATGATCAACGGTGTTGTAGGCGGAGTCCTCCCGGGCTTGGTTCTTGAAAGGCATGAGCTTTGCTTGGATGTGTGGCAAACTGCTTGTCTGTACTGGATTGCCAGTCTGTTGCATTGCTACAGGGCACCGGCTGAAAGATGGCGCACGGTGGATTCTAGCTTGCTGCTCCGTTCCAAAGCTGTGACTCTGAACCTGTTAGGCCTACTGTACCGTATTTGCAGCTACAACAGCTGCACGCTGAAACGAAAAGGCCAGGCGACGTCTGTGAGCACGAACTGCCCGGGAACCCCAATCTGCCTTGGCAAGTGGCAAAGAAAACTGTAGAACAAAACTGCCTAATAGAGCGTTTTGAAGGCACCTGCTACATGTTGACATGTATAGATTTGTTGGGAGGGGGGCGTTGGAGGAGCAATCAAGGAATGAAGCCTCACGGCCTCGCCCTATCTTGAATTCTTGAACATCTACAAGCTTCCCATCCCAAGAAGTACGCCGTACGCTGGGCTGATACGCGTGAGACTGTGGCACTGTGTCAGCCTCCCCAGCGTTGCTCGCAGCCGCCGGAGGCTCTGCCTCCTAGCGCCTTCTCCAGCGGATCCCGTCCGCAAAGCCTCTGCAGCAATGGCTGTGGAGGTGGCATCCCCCGCATCCTCGGAGAGGAACGCCACAGAAGGCATCTTGATTCAGAAACTACTCTTACTCAACCTGCATCATGCTGCACCCTGTTGAATGTTCACCCCCCCCGCTGAACACTTCAAGCTGATCTTGTCCCTCTGCACACCGGACGTTGTCTCACTTTAATTTTGCACGCGGTTGAGTAGGGTCCCCTTCTATATTCAGGACACCCTGACTGTTTGCGGGTGCAAACCAGGACCCGCGCTAAAGTCATATCGTTCCCGAAATCAGAATTTAGGGTTTGTTTGGAAATTTCGAGACCAGCTTTAGACCGATGCCCTGGCCTCTTGGCTTAAAGCTAACCGAAAACCCCCACCACAGAGACACTGCGCACACGAGGCAACCACTTCTTTGGCCGAGCCACCACCGGACCGAAGAGCAAATCTGGAGGACAGCTCAGCGCCTGGGCTTCAGCCGACACCTGCGTCTGGCCTTCCAAGACGCGATCGGCACTGGGAGTGGCCACCAAGTAGGCATTGGTCGCCTCGAATATGCAATGAGACACACTACCGCATTAACATGCTGCTGCTTGCACTCCAAGTCGCATATGGAGAGTGCCGGAACTCCTCCCGCAAGTAGCCGGCCCCAAGCAGGGACACTGCAACGTACATGGCTGCTTCTGACGCCATCTCACCGCGCCATTTGCAAGCCTTCTGGACCTGCAGCTACCAAGGCTACCAACGACTCCATGTCTGCCCACAAGTGGTCACTGCAACTGTCCGGCTACCATGTCACACATCTTGCCTTGTCTGACAGCTTCGCCAAGGTGAGCTGCTCTTCCTGGCCTCTATTCCCAGGCTAAAGCATGTTGCAGCTTTTCACTCTAATTCAGCGACTTGTTGGTCCATTGAGGAGTGTCCATCCATCCGCTGAGGACTTGGGCCTAAGGAGTACTTGAAGGGAAAGCCGAGGACGAAAGCTAGCCTGGATTCTAGGCGACAGCAAGCCCGGCTTTGCGAGCCATTAAAAGGACAAGCAAAACTAGCGCCAAGGCCAAGACCCCACCTCCCCCTCCTCCCCTTTCTCCCCCCCGATTCCTCTTCTTCTTGTTAAATAGACCGTGTTGTTGACCTGCACACACCATGTACCCTATCTGTATCTTATATACGCTTTGTTTGTACATTTTTGCTCAAAACCGTCAAAACCCCTGTGTACCCTACATACTCTTTATATGCGCACATACCCTTTATGCCCTCAAATGCTGTCACATACCCGAGATACACTGAGGGCCCCTATAGGCCCTAGATAAAGGCCAGCTTCACACAAGCCGGTAGTCTGAATCAAATTTTGGGCTGGTGCTACGGGTTGGAAGTTCGAATTCTGGCTGAGAATGTGTTAGGAATCTGGGCCCCATAGCTCAGAAGCTGAGCTCCCCTGACCTGATCCGCAAAAGGTTCTTACGCACCCTAAGCCCTATAAACCCCATAAACCCTACAAACCCTACAAACCCTATAAACCCTATAAACCCTATGAACCCTATAAACCCTATAAACCCTATAAACCCTATAACACCCTATAAACCCTATAAACCCTATAAACCCTATAAACCCTGTAAACCCTATAAACCCTACAAACCCTATAAAACCCCATAAACCCTATAAACCCTAAACCCTAAACTCTGACTTCGCAAGGACCTCGGGAGGACGCAGCAGCCTGCAAAGCGCTGGTCAGCGCCTCGGGCGGCATAGGAGGCCTGGATGCGGCCCGGGCTCAGATTTTTGGGTCTTATTCGGGTTTCGCCACCCGCACTGCGCGCACACAAGCACCCGCTCCGCAGGGTTAAGTCGAGGTCTCCGGGAGTGGGCACACTGGTTGGAGCGTGCCCCAAAAGTTGCGGACCCGAGGGGTCCCCTTCGTGCGAAGGTTTGTGTCATTATCAGATGCCTACAGCCAGAGCACGATCATGCTACTTCCAAGAGCCAGCAACAAACCACCCAACATTGCTCTTATTCGGGTTTAGGGTTTAGGGTTTAGGGTTTAGGGTTTAGGGTTTAGGGTCTTAGGGTTTCTTTTTGAGGGCTGGTTTTCTTTTTTTAGAGGGGAGGGGGGGGGGGGGGGGGGGGGGGGGGGGGGATGCTAAGTGTCTGTTGCAGAGTTGCGGGGTGCTTGGGAAGATTTGGGGTCTTCAGGTCGAAGTATATATATACACATATCTAAGTAAATAAATAACTATATATGCCCACCGTGTCAGCGCTTTTCTTGTGTCTACAGGTCTGGAGATTCAGGATTCTGAAGGTATTCCTTTCTAAACCTTGTCTTAGGAATCTTGAAACTTCATCTCTTGGATGCTGAATAAAACTTGAACTGCTTTTTCAATTTCAGGGTCTAAGGACATATTTTCCTGGGAGTCTTCAATCTTCGACCCCAGGATATTGAAAAAAACAAACAAACACTTGAATAAATATTCAAGTTTCGTTCATGGCGCTGGGCTGGCATGAAATCTCGTATTTCCGATGCCAGGTGTTAATTTGGGTGTGTATATATATATATATATATACACATATTTGTTGCATATGTGTGTATCCATGTATATAGACACAGACATACGAATGTATGTGTAAGCTCGGGAATGCATACACACTAGCAGAAGCATGAACGCAGAAAGCCAAAGACAGGGTTAGGTACATGAGGGGTGGATTGATACATGTATTTGTGTAGTTGGTGTTTCATATATACATATATATATATATATGTATACGTATATAATTGGAGAGGTGGAGGTTGGTATATAACAGTTCTACATGTGTGTGTGTGTTCACATTGCAGCGAAAACCCACGTCGAGCACCACAGCACCGTGAACGCCAAGCGGCGACACCCGAAGCTTCTTACGGGCAGGAGACGCAACCGTGTCGCTGCCCTTTGCCTGGAGAGAGCCCAGTGCAGGTGGAAACTTCTGAACATCTTCAAACGCCCACGACACATGCAATTGAAAGGGCAAGCATGAGGCCACTGTGGATCGCACGGGCGGAAAAAGTTGGGGCCCCAGCCAGGCAAATGTCGCAGCCACGGTCGCAGCTCGGCAGCTCCTGTTGCAATAAGGACCCCTTCAAATTGAAGTTCGTATTCCTTAAGCAAGGGGTATTGGCAAACAGCCGCGATGCCTTTCCATTGCACTCCCTTGTCTTGCACATCGGTGGCAGCACTAATAATGGACACATATCGACAGTTATTGATGCTAATGTCGGCAGCGTGATCACCTCGCCGAAGTGACGGGAGATCTGCACTCGTCTACATTCACGGCCCTGACCTTACTCTTCGCGATCCGACTCATCCGTCAAGGAAGTGTGCGGGGAAACCGTTGTGCAATTTGCAAGCCAGCCACCCTAAGGGTCCATGTACCCATATGGCATATACTTGGGCCCTAAAGCTACTATATGGGAACCCCTTTAAGGCCCAAGTATATACTACATGGGTACATGGACCCTTTGGGGCCACATGTCATTGGAGACAACCACCATCCGTAGTGCGACCAAGCCACAGTACATCGCAGCCCCATACAGCTCCCGCAGAGACGCGGGCTTGTAGTAATTCCTCGAAGATTAAACTACGTAGGGTCGTGGCCAGAGTGGCTAGAGTGGCTGCATTGAAGCCGAGGCTCATGACACTGTGCCGCGGCACGTCGCTGGGGCGATAGAGAAGCAGGCAGAGTGCAGGCTTCCCATCCCTCCCAGCCCGGCCAGCTTCTTGGTAGTAGTGGTGAAGCGACGCCGGCAGGCCGGCATGCACCACGAACCGCACATCGCTTCTGGGCTGTTCAAGAGTTTCAAGATGCCGCGAAAATGTCCGAACGTGGTGTTTAGTCGGGCTCGCAAGAGTCGATTAAAAGCCTAAAGCTAAAGCCAAAGCTAAAGGCTGAAGCTAGAAGCTAAAAGCCAAAGGCTAAAGGCTTAAGGCTAAAGCAAAAGCTAAAAGCTAGAGCTCAAATCTGATGCTAAGGCTAAAGCTAAGGCCAGCGAAGCCAAACTAAGCTACACTAAGTCACTAAGCTAAGCTAAGGTAAGGTAAGCTAAGCCGGTTTCATAAATCTACCCAAAGATAGCTCGAGATTCTTGTTGATGCCCATGCCGAAGGCCACCGTGGCTACAACCACTTTGATTCGGCCCTCCACCCAATTGGAATGGACCTTCTGCCGTGCCGAGGCGTCCAGATCACCGTGGTAGAACTCGCAGGGCACGCCGCCCTCTGCCAAGCCTTGGCGGAGTTGCTCGGCCTCCTTGCGTGTGATGCAATAGACCAGGCCAGGCGTACCTCAAAAAACAGAGCTGCCCCGACTTGCACTCGACTCTCCAAATCTGAGGCCATGCCTGGTGGGAAGATCCGGATCGTGGACAGCACTGCTGCGAGAACGTCAGCTGCAGCCTTCGGGCGGTGGCCTCTGCGAAGATGGTGCCCCATATAGTGCCCTCAGACGCTCTCTCCGGCTCTCATGTTGAGCCAAGTAACGTACAGCGTAGAAGAGATTCGGCCGATCCGTGGGTGCTCGCAGCTCCACGGCACCAGTCATGCCCAGGCCTCTTTTTTTGGATGGCCGCGCACTGCATTTTTAAAGAAGCATCTGGGAGTTGGGTGAGAAACCTTACTGAAATCTGCAAACCGGGTAAAGAAAGCCCAGAAGCAACGCTGCACGTCGCCAGCCACCGTCTGAGTTGCCTGAGGCGCTTGAGGCCCTGAATGATTCTGAATGCGCAGGGAGACGTCAATTCACTATACTTTGAGGTACCCATCCTGTGAGTTCCTTCAGTTCATCAGAACCCAATCATTGCGTCGAGCTTCCGTGGCTGTCAGTGCGAGTATTGGTGTTTGAGGAAACTGAACGCGGAGAGCGGCCAAGCGCTCGTAATCCTGGCGTGAAGACCCGGGATGCTCGGGGCTCTACAAGCCTGTGGGGCGGGGGTTCATTCGACAGTTCCGGGTTCAGTCACCAGCTGGCCAGTTCAACAACACCTCCACACATCATCTCTCCGCTAGGAGTATATATAGACTCAGTCTCAGCCGCGATCTGGGACACCAAGGAGCAACCACAAAGTACCGCGACGAGCGATGTCTTGCATCCCTGGCCCCTTGGTCCTGCCGAAAGTCGTGGCCCCACTGTGAGATGCAATGCGCCTCGGAGATGCTTCTCTGAAGGGAAGTTGAACGAAATGTGCGGCCCCCACTTTTCCGATCCCGCTGACACAGAATGACATGTCACATCCGGGCACTTCTGGCACTTCTGGGCTGCTTGACACCGGATGTAGAGCCTCGTCTATGGCTAGCAGGCCCAGCCGTTCCGCAGCATAGATCTTCTCCAAGAGGTTCATGACCTCAATCACTTGGCATGCTTGACCGAGCGCGAGGAGTTTAGCATTGCTTGGACGATTACGTAACTGCACCCTGATATCCGAATGTGTCGTCCGGGAGGCAAGTTTGCTCTTTGCCAGACGCTCTGGCGTCAGGTAGAGGATTCGAAGTCCATCTGCCAACTTTTTTTTGTCTTGGGTGATCAACTCCCCGCTTTTGGTTAGACCCGCCATATGATGATCTCAAGAGAACGATTGGGGCAGGGCCACTTTCAGCAATAGATGCGTTCAACTCATTATTACCACATGTCTCAGAAAATGATCATGCAACTGCTTGTTGAAATGAAGGAGCCTCCCCCGTCCTTCGCTGTCAGCGCCTTCATCTCACCGCGAATCTTGGTCTGCTCCTGGGCCGCTGTCAAGTTTCTGTAAAAGAGATGCGCACCCAAGATGTGGCCGGATTCTAATGATTCTACTCATCCTGCTGTGCTTCACAAGCCTGAGAACACACAATAACACACATTCACGGCCTCACGAGAGTCGCTGCTGCTGAGCATGGCAGCTCTGATCCCCAACGCCTGGAGTGCCATGACTTGATCCTGTAGCTGCAAGGGAATGGCATCGGCGGTTCCAAAGTACATTGACGTATGCGCCTTTGCTGCGACGAATCGCAGCAAAGCCTTGTCGACTGTAAATGCGCATGAGCCCGTCACCGAACAAAGGTAGATACCCTCGCATCGCTCTGCAGGACGAAAGCAGTCCTGCATCAGCGAAAGCAGTGGGCTCACCACCTTTGCGCAGCTGTTAGCTAGGGCTGAGAGTTCAATCACCCGCTTATCTGCTGCGGAAAAACCCAGGATGCTTATTAAAACAGTTACGAGGCTGATGGTGGCGATGATGCGAAGCTGACACTAGGCCATAAGGGCCTAACTGATTAGCAACCTTACGGAAGCGTACGGCACGCCCTGCATGAAATTCCGCCTCTACCATACAAAAGCGTACTTTGACGAATCAGAGGTGATGGCGGTGTGTAGGGACCCGACAACGGTGAGATTACCCCTCAGCAGCGGCGGCGCCTTCAAGGTCCAGGAGGAGGAACTTCGAAGAGGGTTTGAGAACAGCCCCCGCCAAAGCCATTATCCCAAAGCTAGCTTGTGATGATACCAATGATACCCTTCCACTGGTTCTACTCCACAGTCCCCATCAAGGCACCAAAATCAATAAGCATAACCAAACCGCTGCAGTTCTGCAACCTCTGACTCTTAGAGTAGCCATGTCGCTTTCTGGTGTCCGACATTGAACTCTTTGGATCAAGTTTCACATCCTCTGGGTCCCTACAAGCCTACATGAAGCCTGAATATGTGATCTCAGGGCACCTGAAAACACAAAGACTTTCCGGCGCCCGTGGGCGCCACTAGGAAGACATCCCGGCCAGCGAGGATGGCGTTCAACGCCTCCTCCAGTTTCATACTTTCACAATTTCAGGTCGAAGTTGGTGTATACTTCGGGGTACGATGGGTTCTGATGCAAGCTTCACGCGCCAAGAATACATTGCATCTCTCACGAGCTCCCCTGAAAGTTTCTTCATCTGGCCCATGCACCGGGTAGATGAGCTCGGATTCTGAGGGCCTTGGGCTGACGAACTCGACGTATGAGCCGCGCTGCCAGCCCCTGATTGTCACGAACCCCACTGCAGCACCAGCGGCGGTCCTACGCCTGTGCCAGTATAGTATAGCAGTGGAATCCCCCAAAAAGGATCCTCATCACCTGCGCATAGGGGGCACCCCGAGGGTCCTCCTGATTCTTCCGGAAGGAAGTCACGCCGAAGGTCTCTTCACAGAGCCGCCGGAGCCTAAGAAGGAAAAGCGTGGCCACCGAGACCTATAGCGGGCTTGCGCAATGTGGGGGATTCCAACCATTGTCTCAATCTTTCCAGCTGTTTTCGACTGCTGCTTCAGGGCTTCGACTTTTATGGGGTTGAAGAAACAATAGGCCCCTCGTTTTCTTGGGCTGCTTCAGTATTCTCATTTTGTGGGCCATCCGAGCCTCTGCCGGCGTTAAATGCTTACCGAGAACACCACAGCATCCCAACTGCAGTCCTGCCGCCCTGCCCCGCGGCTGGGTCCAAGGTCTTACGTCTGTTGATATCGATCATGTCCGCCAAGATAGTATGGACTTCACAGCAAGCCCACACATTAGGTGCCCTGCAACTGTGAACCCCTTTTCCGGTATCTCAATCGCAACCTTGTTCCAGTGCTGCCACGAAGCTTCTTGGTCCATGGCTGCTGCTTCACCCAGTCTTCGGCAGGCGAATCCTTGCGCTGCTGCTGGAGCTCCTGATTCAGCGCATGCTTCGTTGGTTGCAAGGATGGCTTGCTGTAAATACGTCGTGCACATATGTGCAAATCCTGGGTTGAAGTGGTGCTGCGGTTACCGACTGCGAGACTTCACAACGGCACGCCTCCTATGTATCTGAGCTGTATCAAAGCAGAGACAGAGTCATGCGCAAATCCTCGATCTCGGTCTGGAGGCTCTTCTGCCTTTCCCGCGCCGCCTGCGAGGCGATTCGTCCCAAGTATGGAGATGGTCTTGTTGTATCATCATGGGCTATCTTTCGGCTGTGTGGTAGGGAGCGCGGGATTTGGGCACGATTCGATATGGCCCGGATTAAAACGGTTCTTTCAATTCCAAATCACGATGCACCAGCAAGTTGCGCAAGCTCCTTCGCGAATGTCCTGGCCTGCAGGGTTCAACCTGCCAAATATACGACTTTGTTCGAGCCCTCAACCCAGAGCAGCCTGCAGGTCACGGCGGGCTGCTGCCAGCAGAGCCGAGCAACGGTCGACATCGGCCTCAGGCTCCATTCTGACGTCCAAGCTTCAACTTCTCATTAAACGGGCCCTCTGATCCATGCCTGCAACAGGGGCAGAAGCCTTCAATTCCAAGCCCTGAATGCGGTGCACTCGCGTTGAACTGAGGCGGCACTCGAGCAGAGTGACGAATGTAGTTCAAGCTTGCTCACTCCTCTCGACATATGCATGGCTGCTTTGGGCAACAGCCTGGAAGCCCACGCGGCACGCACGGCACACGCAAGGGGCCACAAACAGTGCCCGGCCTGTGCCTGGCTGAGCTGCTCACCTCACCGGATGGATGCAAACTGGGCAGGGGTCGGCTCTGCAGATGGGGAGTTTCTTTTGCCTGCGGCCTCAGCAAGCGCAGCCAAGCCACGCAGCCGCTTCTCTCGGCAGGCGTGGGTCATGTGAGGCGGCAGAACATGGCACAAACCAGTCACATACAAAAGGCTCTACAGGCTCTATAGATTCTCAGATCAACCTCCGGACGGGGAGGTGCCTGCTGCGAATGGCTCAGGAAGCATCGTGGCAGGAATGGGACAAGGTCAAGACCTCTAGCGGCTTTCGCATCCTTCTACCTTGCAGGGTCTTATCTTCTGACAGGGAAGGGGCTCACAGCCAAAACGGCTACAGGCAAAAAAGCATGACAAGCCATTCTGAATCAAAGCCCAGAAGCTTTCAGTCCTAACATGCTACATCGATTTCAGCAACTCGGTCGGGCACCGACTCAACGACGAGCCCTGCCGATGGAACCGCCTGTTCCAAGCTGCTGGCTTGATACCATGCTGAAAAACCCTAGCTCCATCAGCTCCATCTTGATTTGAATATTGAGCCTTATAAAAGCTTATAAACAAAAAGGAAGCGCGGAGAACTCCCACAATCAACTGCAAGCAACTCTCAGGCGGGTAGAGATCAACGAGGCCTCCGGCAAGAAGCTTCTTAATAAGCCTGGCTTCTAAGCCTTGCCTCGGATTTTCGAAGTGCGGGGCTGGATGGTATCCTCAGAGGCTCAGCGTGTAAGTTCCTTCTGATCCGATGCTGGGCACAGATCCTTTATGACACCCTGATTGGAGCCCGCATCGCAACATTAGCTGTGCCAAAGCCCTTGAAACTTGAAAACGCCGCAAGCAATAACCAGCCAAGAAGCGTAGTCCAGGGGGCCAGGGGACTTGGTGGAGAAGCCATCTCTCATCAGTTTTCCTTAGTAGTCTGGCCAGTCGAATATAGACACACTGACATACATGAATAGAATAGAAAGGGCAGCCTCTTTTTCCTTCCTTTTCAGTTGGGGCAGTCCAGGCTAGCCTGCAACCAGCCCTCACGCACCCCCAGGACTCCCAGGCACAGGCCTCATGCCTTCGAAAACCCAGAACCCCCAAAAAAGGAAAGAAAAGGATTTAGGGTTTAGGGTTTCGGGCTTCGGGTTTAGGATTTTTTTGCCACCGTCTAGCCATGCTCTACGGGGCAACTGAAGAGGGAATACTGTGTACAGGTTTAGGGTTTAGGGTTTAGAGCTAGGGTTTAGGTTTAGGGTTTCGGGGTGCTGGGCTCCCAAGTTTCTGTAGGCCGTGTTCTCATTGGCACTCACGGGGTGGAGGTAGTCCCTCAACTCCTCAAAGTTGATCTTGCCGTCGCCGTCGTGATCACACGAGTCGAAGATATGCTTTGCCTCCGCTGCAGATATCTTTGGGTCTGCCTTGCATAAGATGCTGTAGACCTCATCCACGCCCAAGGTTCCATCCTGCCAGGCATCTGCACCGATTTAACTTTTCATCGGGTGGATTGCGAAAGAGAGGAGAACCGGGACAGAATGAACTTGCAAGCAAAACCGACTTCCAAACAGTAGTTTCAAAAACTGCATCTCGGCATTCTCGGGTCACCTGCTTTTTTCCCGAACAAGACTATCTTGTGCAGGGTTTTCATGTATCAGGCAACCGGTCGCATATGTATTGGGCAAGGGAAGTTTCTTTTGGCCACCCGGCAAGCAAGTTAGGGCCTGTGGCTTGGGCCCTCATAATTAAGTACGGTCCTTGTTGGCGTCGCAGCTGGCAAACTGTCGTTTTTCGTAGGAGAGGTCGGGCAACGCCATACGTCCCGGCACACCAAAGTAGTTTCCGCCTTTCACCTTGCAGGGAAGGAGCTGCTCACAAAGCTTCAAAGCCGTGGCTAATGTGCAGCTGCCAAAGGTGGCACATCGTCGAAAGACTCATGAAGCCCTGACCTCTGCAAGCAAGCAAAAGCAAGCGAAACCTCAACTGACAAGTTGGGATCCCGGGGTCCATTTAGAGCCTTGCCTTGTGCTGGACGTGCGTGCAATAGGTAGCGGGGCCAGGTGACGGCTCCAAGTTGCCCTCGTAGCCTTGGCTGACTCAGCTGATCCAGCATGACCCCAGCACTCAGGCTAGGAACCGTCACGTGTTCAGTTGAGGCCGGATGGGAAAATGCAGGTCATCAGCAAGCAAAACCAACAAACTCATGAGCAGGAGGAGGAGGTGCGGGATACACCGTTTCATGCAGCATCACGATGAAGTCAACAGAACAGATCTCTTGGCCAGGGGGCACAGCGCCCTCCTTGCAGCTCCAATGGTAGCTCGTGGGCCTTGCTTTTGATGGGCGAGAACCTTGGACAGATTCTACAGGTGGTATGAAGTGGTATGGCTCTAAAGGTCCTAAGGGAGAAGAGCACCGGACAGGCTCTGTAGACGATGGGGGGTCTCACGTTGGCGAAGCCTTGGAATCCAGCTACCGGTGACGCCACGCCGCACCTTGCCCCTGACCCAGTCTACACATTCGTCCCGAAGCTGATCGGTTCTTGTGGGGCGGATATCTGCGAAGGGGATTGAAATTGAATTCTTGTGGCTAGCGGCTACTGAGGGGTTTTAAGCTTCTCTGGGGTGACTTGTGGAGCTTGTCTGGTGTGTAACGTGCCAACTCTGACTCTGACGACCAGCCCCTTGAACCATCCGAGGTGCTGAAAAATTCTGGGCGTACCTGAGTCGAAGCAGAATTGGCATCATGTAAACTGGAAGTGCTTGGGAGTCCGAACAGTTCTCTTTCCTGAAGTACACTCGCTTTATGCTTGTGGGACGCGGAGCCTGGTTCAGCAAGTGTATCAGTACGTGCGTGCGCGTAAACAGCAAGACAGCCATGGACATGGAACAAGCGCAACAATGATACGTGTGCAACAGATCTGCTGCTCAAACCGTTTGCCTGTTACTTCGCAAGAAATTGGTAGCAGGACTTTAGTTCGGATTTGCATAAGAACACGAACATTTCGTAGACCTCCATGGCATTGATAGGATGCCGAAAAATGGCACGGTTGTCTGCTCTTGGCCTATGGGTGTGGGTCTGCGGGTGGGCGTGTGGGAGAGGCATGCGCTTGTGTACATGTGTATGCGTGTGTGTATGTGTGCGTGTTCGTTGAGGTGCATTTTGAGCCTCTTGCCATGATGGTGTTCGAGGTTTCGAATCTGGGTTCGAGGCTCCTGCATTCCCAAGTTTAGCATCATGCTTCGTGGCCTAGGCCGTCCAAGACCCAAAAAGAAACCATAATGACGATGCCCTTTGAACCAGCAAAAAGGTCGGCTGCCAGTTGCAACCAACTTGCTTTAGACACTACGTCTCCTCGCACACGCGACAACCCCATTCCCCTTCTCAATCTGAGACCCGCCGCACTCCTCCACAGTCCAATGTTGTACAGCATGCGCATGCAAGTAGTACTTGCAAGTAGACCTACGTCCATGAGCACAACCCTAAACTTCTAAACCCTAATAATCCTAAAACCTCATACATAACTTGACCACGATCGGCCAAGTTGCGCCCCAGGCCCGGGGGACTCCGAGCGTGAGTCCATGCCCTTTGGAGCGCTGCCGAAAGTGGCCGAGTAAGCATTCCTGGGCTTTAGGAGGGGGGAATTTCTCTGAGGGTTTAGATGGATCTGAAAGGCTGCCTCGGGACATCCCGATGGGTTTGATGATATTTGAGGGAAGCTGGTCCATGCAGGCTTGCAGCTTACTACACATTGGCCCTTCAATCTCTGTGATGGTTTTTGACAATCGCTGCGAGGCGGCCCAACCTGCTCAGTTCAGTCCTACCTCGCACTGCAGGTAATCAGCGGCTAGCGAAAATCCGAACTCCAATCCGAGCCCACAGCCCCTTGTTCGCATTTCAAATTTTAAATTTGCCTCCCAGAAGCTTGTGGAAGGCGCTGGCCGTGTGATTCCCTTTGTAGGCGGCTGGGCCAGGGGAAAGGCTGTTCACGCCATGGTCGGTCATTCTCCTGAGCAGCATTGGTAAGGGGTGACCTCTGAGCGGAGAGCCTGGGTCAGGAGCCTAGTGCTGGGATCGGGGGCTTCGATTGCTTCTCGAATCTATGTTTCGGCCTGGCGGTAGAAGGCCCGGTCAAGTGGAGCCAGCAGTTGGTCTTCAAACCACTTCTGTTGCATCCGGATCTGGTTACTCCTCAACCCGTTTCACAACCCCTTCACCAGGGACTCGACTCCTCAACCCTAATCCCTGAATTCCCACGCCGAGGCACCGCTGACTTGGAATCACTGCTCGGGGCGCGTTGCGCTTTCCCGCGAGGGCCTGTGACTGCCAAACGAAAGCTGCCAGAAGAACCTTTGCTAAGGGTCGCTGGCGCAGGGCTCAGGGCCAGGGCTTCTGAAGGCGAAGGCGGCGGAACGCTTCAAATCTGACCAAGACGTGCAGCGCCTTGTCGTTGCCAACGTAGTCAGCGGGACCAGGACATGAGAGGTTGAAGGCCGTGCGCAGCTTCTTTCCTCGAGGGGCCCGGGCATGCTTGACACTTTTACTATTCTTTACGCAGCTCACATCGACCACTCAGCAACGGTATGAGCAGCCAGGCTTCGCCAAGTAGAGTGCTCGAAGGTCGCGCCTGGCGGATGCAAGTACCTGCGCACAAAAAACGCATGGGATTCGGATGGAATGGCTTTGAAAAGTAGCAGGTGACACAACCGGACATCAACATGGCAAGCAACTATATGCCCACCACAAGCAGCCGCCGGAATCAGCAGCAAAACCGAGCTCATCCAAACTTTCCCTCTGAAGTTATATAGGTCCTCAAATCCCCTCACACATCTCAACCCCTATAAGCCCTAAACCCTCAACTCTCAAGTGCCAGGGCACTCCGAAAGCTCATGAAATCCCACGTTGCCGTCCTGTGAGGATTGGGGGGAGGGGGGATAAAACTTGGGGGGAGCTTTTGGGCTGGGGACTCCGAGAGGCTGCAAGATGCTTATATTAAAAGCCGATGCCCCAACATGGTCCTTGTCTTTGTCAAGGGCATCGAACAAGGCTTGCACCTGTCATATGTTATGTCATGTTACGTACCTCTCTGGGCCCGCAGTTCAACAGCAGTTATAGAGTCTATACATGCTGTGCTCGAAGGCTCAAAGCCTTCCATGGACCGTGGCAGCCCTGCGTATCCCCACCGTTGCTTCGAATTGTATAGAGGTCTAAAGAGTTCCCATTGGCATTTGCGACCTCCATGTCTGTCAGATTCGGATCGCCGCGACGGAGCAACTTGCACAGCTCCTGCAAGGGACACGAAGACACACACCACACGCATTAGTCCACATTCGTCCACACTCTTCAAAGATGTTTTGTGAAGAAATGTGAGGAGATAGTCATCGACAGGATGAACTGCCCGGTGCGGAGTAGGATACTGGCAACTTTGGCAACATCCGATGGATTGCAGCAAGACAGGCCATGTGTTCCATTGCTGCACGTGCGAGAGCCACCAACCTGAAAGGCCAGAACCCAAACGGGAGACTCCCACGACGGTCGAAGGAAAACGAAGGTCCGGAACACCTGCGACCGAAATACCGACTCCCTGCGAAGTCAGGCGCGCTGCTCTTCGCAGGGTTGCAGGCACCAGGCAGGTGTCCTGAAAGTCGAGCGTGCCGTTGCGGTTCAGGTCGTACTTGATGAAGGAAGTCTTTTCCTCACAATCGGTCATTGCAGCAGACTTGGCCAATTTTGAAGTGACAGAGGAAGCGACCTCCCAATTAGCAGCATCCTTTTCAAACCTTGTACTTCCTTCGCTTCACCCGGGCCTGTGCAAATCCCACGGCTGTGTCATTGTTGTCAATCCCAACCTCAGCGACAAAACGGTTTGTATGGCTAAGTTGCTGACAGAACCAGGAAGAAAGATTCAGCGAGGCTTCGCATTCGGATGGTTAGGTCCGCAGCCGTGATGTGGCCCGTCCCAAAGTAGCTCCCACCGGGCACCTGGCATGGAAACTGCGAGCTGCAAGACTACCGGGCAACCGCCCGCCATGAAGAGAACACGCGTGCGCAAACACACGAAGCGTCCCGCAGCTAGAGCTGAAACAAACCAAGAAAGGCATTTGCAGGCGGCCCTACTAAGGAGATGCAAGGAGCCTCTGCGCTTTAACTAGGCTCATCTCTCTGCCACGATGGGGCTTGCGGGGTTTCGATGCTCACTCACATGCCCATTAATTAGTGCTCTGAGTCACTGAGGGCAGATGTAAACTGATGCCATGCAAGTATAGAGGCGCAAGAAAAGCCAGCGCAGCACTGCAACTGCTACCGCCAGGCTTGCCTTCTCCGCCACGGTGTTGTTGTATGCCTGTGCAAATAGGACGCCCCTGACGGTGTTAGAACCAGGGTGACTAGGGCCTAGGGTGACTAGGGGCTTCTCGTTCTACAGACGTTTGTAGACAGCATGGAGGCATCATCAAGGAGTATGCGCGCTCCTCGGGTACCCGCTACCAACTACTACCTGACCAACGTACGAATACCGTGACAAAGTTCGGATTGCCCTCCCTGTCGAGGGCACAGGGCCAATATTTCATTTGCTCGTGTAAGTCGGCTACAAGTAGAGGGCGATTGGGCCGCAGTGCTACGTGTTCACTTCCTAACCTGCATGGGCTTGCGTCCGAGATGCTCCCGGTCCCGGAGTGGGCAGCGGTGGCGACATGCGCGACTTGTGGGCACCAGGGATCTCCGGCTCCTGCTAGACGCTGCTAGCCGCTGCTAGCCCATGAACGACCCCCTAGCTCCAGATAGATACAAACCTAAAGACCCAACCCGATAATTGTCTGACTCTACTGACAGCATGGAAGCCGGCCGACATGTCCGTCCTACCAAACCGAAAAACCCGGGGCCTGCGTGCTGCTGGTGATCGAAGTCATTGTGGCTGCCTTGCTGCCAGTGGATCGCCTTGTGAGGAGATTTGGCAGACTTCCGGCCTCAGAGAGGATGCCATGGGCCAAGGCAAGATATGGCACATCCCCCCCCCCCAAACACTCTCTCTCATGGTCTCTCCTTCATTCCCCAATTGACTTAAGGAACCCCAGCCAACCTCAGCTTTTTTTCTGAGGCTCCTGCCCGGCGCCTGGACACGATGGAGCCCTCGGTCGTGGAAGTTTTGCGGGGCGCGTTGTCGGCCACCTCCAGGTTCTCAGGTTCTATGACTACAGTCTTTATGATAGCCGATGAAGTCATCGATGCATTGAATTTGGGGGGGTCTTCTCTCTTTTTTTTAGCCGATGAAGGTAAGTCATCGATGCATTGCGAGTTCAGGCTTTGCACTTGTGCGTGGGACCATCTTGTGCGCGTCTCGGGAGATTTTTTTGGGTCCTACCTGTGATACTACAAACATGTGCAAGCTACAGCTACCGAAAAACCCTCTTCGTAGCGCGGTTTTTTCAGTCGACCACGTTGCCACGATTGATTGTCTGCCACATGGGGATTGATCCGAACTCTGGGCACTTGTTGGAACCCTAGTAAAATGGAAGGGCTCGAGAGGCCCGAAGTCATCTTGTAATCCAGAAAATAGGGCTGTCCCAAAGTATTTGGCAAGCTTTTTTTCTTTTTTGGGGGGAGGGGGGGGGGTGCTTACACCAGGGATTGTGGTGTTATTGAATGGAGGTATATTCAGGGGTATGGTGCCACATCATGGCCTCACGCGGCTTAACCCGAGCCTTCTTCCTTGGCACGATGGCCTCCTTGCTCGGCGCCCGGGCCTCCTGTTCCGGGGATCCTAAACCCTAAACCCTAAACCCTCCTGTTTTACATGAACCACGACAGCAATCAGTCCTCCACAGCTTTTGGCTGGATGGTGTTTTCGAGCTGTTCGGCCTCTTGTGCCCAAATCGGATCACAGATGAATACTGACCAAACCACCACAGCAGTCTCTCTCTCGCTCTCTCGCTCTCTCTCCCTCCCTTCGGCCGATGGTGCTCGTCGCGAACTCCCGCCTCCTCTGCAGGGGGAGCAGCTGCTGCCGGTGGTGCCTCTAAAAGGCAGTCATCATCGACACTGTGAAGCACAGCAGGCTTTGCAAGCATCGCGACCGCGAGAGCACAGAGAACTATATGCTTACTGCCACGAGTACGTCCTGAACTTGACAGAAATCTTGCTCCCCAGCAATGGCCGACATCAGGTCACTGAGTACGCTGCCGTCGGTTCCTCTTTCTTTGCTTCCAGAAGCTCCATGCCCATGAACTCTTTGCAACACTTCACGAACCTGGGAATGCTGACATATCGAGCCCTATCTTCTTGCACAAGCCACATGCGCAGAAACAGCTTCCAAACAAGACCTCAGGCCACAACTCGCCGAATGACAACTGGCAGGAACAAGCATGTTGACGCCCAAAGTGCTTAGCTGATCTCACGTTTCTTCAGCCTCAGCTTAAAGCTATCGCACACACATCGCAGGTGTCACATCCCGTGATGCCTTCCCATCACGGTCCACGTCGACCTTTTGGAAGATCTGCTCGGCCTTAAAGTTTCAAACCCTTGCTCTGTGTGCCTCGCTTCTCCCCCCGCCCCGTTCCCCTCGCTTGCCACCCCTTCCCACCCCTTCCCCCCCCAAAAAAATATCTGTATATGTATATATATTATATATATTATAAGTATACATTTTTGTAAAAGAGTGTCAAGCAAACCTTGGCGAGGCAGGCAGACTAGGTTACGCTGTCGCACGTGCAATGGCTGCGTCAACCCTTGGGCACCATTTGATCCCCCGCAATGACCAGGACGCGCTATTATACCCTCTAACCCCTTAAAACAGGCCCAGGGGTGATTCTGGCGATCCCAGAATCACACCTACAAAGGGCCTTTTGCAGGAGGTTATAGGGTCTAATAGTCCATCCTGGTGCAGAGCAAACCTGGGGCTTCTGCTTTTGCTCGCGTCATGTCACAGTCGTCCTCAGAGATCCACTCGTAAAACTCCTCCTGGCCAGAGTGTTTAGGGTTTAGGGTTTAGGGTTGAGGGTTTATTTAGGGTTTTAGGGTTTAGGGCTTGCTGTGCCCTATGTCGCCAAGGCTTGACTGAACAAGCACAGCATAGTTCCCCATCATTTCGGGCAAGACATCATTAAAACTCCCCTCAAGCACGCAATCACCACCTCAGCCCATTGCTGCGGGTCTCGGCAGTTTGTCTTATGAGAGGAGAAGAGGCGTTTTCGAAGCAGAGGCCCCCACGAATTCCAGGAGTCCATCCTTGTTGGCGTCGAGGCCCCTGCACTCAGAATGAATACACGCACTCTGGGAGCTCCTCAGCAGGGGCTTGCTTAAAGCTCAAGGAAGTTCAATGGACAAGGTGCTTCAAGCTGCAGGCAAGGCAAGATAAGGCAAGCAAAACCACACCCCCATCTGTAAGGCGCCGGACCTGAATCGACTGTAGAGAGCCTTATAAGCTGCGGAGCACAGTTTGACAGGTGACACAGCGGTCCTGGTGTTTACGTCCCCCCATGCAGCGTGCCCATGCGCTATGGCTCCTCAAGAGAATGCCAGTGCGACGCGTCTGAGGCCACTGCGCTTGCAGACATGCTTACTGTCATCCACCTCACATGCCGGCCACCGCTTGAGTTCAAATTGCCCAAGCTATAGCTCGAGCTGACCACAAGATTCCCTGTCAAGAACCGTGCAGGATGCCCTTGCCACTGAAGTCATATGGCAAGCCAAACAAGCACAATGCGCAGCCCTGTCGAGCCTCACTGCGTCTCGCGCCCTCAGTTCCCTACTGAGCCAAATGCTGCGGAGCCTGGCGCTTATGACATGGCAGCACTTCAATCACCAGAAAGCGGGTGGGGCAGCACGGTTGCAAGTGCAGGCGACAGCAGTCTTGTCTCACTGGTACGGCCAGTGCTCGACTCCAGTGCGCCTCAAAGGTCTCTGCTTTGCAGAGCCTAGAGTCGTCGCTGCAAGGTAGCCTTCAGCTCATGAGGCAACCTTGGGGGCAAGTGGCAGAATTTGGATGGTTTGGGCAGGCGTGATCCAGCTTTTCGTGACCCTTCCTGACGCTCGGCATCTGCGTGCACAACAGCGGAAGAACCCTGTCCACACGCAATGCTCTACACGTTGCATCTACAACTGCCGTAGAGATGGACGTTCGACAATTCCACGCTCATGCCCCAGATTAGCAGCAGAAGCCCTGTTTACCTTACATTACCTCACCGGGCGGCATGGTCCAGAGTCGGCGCACAGCGCCGACGGCCGTGAGGTTGGTCTCATTCGGCGGTTCGAAGTCTGCCAAGGAATCGGCGGTTAGCAGTCAACGAAGTCGTCTGACTTTTACTCTATACTCTATACTCATAAACAAAAATAAAAATTCCCAAGGGGGATATATAGTACTTATGTTTTGACGGCCAGCCTGGCCAGCTTTACTTCAAGTGAACATGGTGCGCTGATATGACCTCACGTTCGTGAAGCCAAGGGATGAGATGGGGGGGAAACACGAGACGTATTCACCAGGCACGCGTTGCAGCGTATGCAAGCACCTTGGCACGACGTTCGTTTTTTGTTAGTTTTTTTTGTTTGTTGTGTGTGTGGGTGGGCGGTTGGGAGGGGGAACACGCAGAAAGTTTCAGGGTGGTTTCAGGGTGGAGTGGAGGGCTCAACCGTGGTGTCAGCGTCAGTCTGTGTGTCTGGATGGGCGCGCGAAGCCTCAATATTGAGAAGGGGCGTGATCCACTTTCCATAACCGTTCACCCCGGGGCCAGGCTTGGATCGCTTCAAGGCAGGGAGGCTGCACTTGCAGAAAGCATAAGCTCTAGCTCTAGACCTCGCAACCCCATACGGCGCAATATCATGAACTGACTGATGTCTGAGCAGCTTTGCACGCAACATATTCGCCGGCGTGCAAAAAGAAGAGCGAATCTCAGAACTCATAACCTACGTGGAGAATCGAACTTGAATTCTTTCGCTTAGGTCAATTGGTGTTTACGCAATATCCTTGTGACAGCCACATTGAGAGAGACCAACTGTGAACCTGACGATGCCTTCCCAAGGAGAACCATCGTCGCCGCCGGTTTTGTTGGTCAAGAAGAACAGCACGAGGACAGAGCACAGAATGGACCTTTGGGACAGCCGAAACATGGGACTTTTATACTCCAAAATAGGATAACCCTCATGATTAGGAGCCGCCCCAAGTTCAAAAGGGTAACTCTTTTTGCGGGGGGCGGGGGTGGGGGGGGAGGGTTGGGCATGTTCTTTGGAAAACCCCTTGGGCAACTGGCATGACATCTCCCTACTGACTTGTTCTGTGTCAAGGTGTTCACTCAAGCCCGGATTGAACCCATTGAACACATTGAACAGCAGTCGTGGTCTTAGGTTGCAGCGCACATGTGCAGCAGCAAATGGCCACATACTCAATCCAGCGCTTTACCTGACCAGGATGAGGAAACCCTACCGTCTTCCACGCTCCTACTTTTTCTACTGTAGTTTCTTGGGAACCCTGTCAGGATAGCTGGTGGCTGCTTAAGAAAAGTGGGGCAGTGCATCGTAGGACGTGCCACCAGTCTTTTGGCCTGTCCCCGGTGTCAAACTTTGAATTGGGCCGCACCTTGACACAGGTGATTGCAGCCTCTGCTCCCGGGGCCAGACAGGCAAGAAGCAGCAGCAGGAAAAGGCCCAGGTAACGCCGGCGCCTTGGGAACGTTTAGCTGCGCCAGGCTTGAGCGGAATAATGCCAAGGCTACCAAGATGAACTGGCCTGATCTCGGCATTGATCTGAGACAAGCTAGTGGCTGTTTGCCCATGACAGCCTCAAAAGGCCAGAAGAAGCTCCTGCGCTTACAAGGGCACTTGGGCGGGGACAGCATCTCGGCCATGGTTTCTGTGCGACTGGCTGCCCAGTGACCTCCAATTAGGGCATGCAAGGCAGAACCCGCATATCAGCCATATGAGTGCCTTTCGGGCAAATAAAAAAAAAGCTTTCCGATTGCTTCTCCTGTAATTAGCAGCGTCGTCAACGAATTTTGGCTCTTTTCGTTTGCAAGGGCTTCAATGTTCTCGGTGCTTTCTGGTTGTTGTCTACCTTGACAGCTTCACAAGCCACGCGGGGCCTTCGCTCAAAAGTCCTGACCACCCCAGGCTTCCACGCTATGCTGGCCTGCTGTCACGGGAGGCAACCAGCCCTCAAAGCTCGATCATTGCTCCACTCCTACTTCAGCTTCGGGGCGGACACATGTTCGAGCAAGAAGGCAGCAAACGTGTCGAGGTCAATCGCCAGACGCTTGCGCTGACATAGCTCACTTAACATGTCAACTCCCCAGATCCAACCACAGCTGACGTGCAGTGCATACGACCCTCCATGCTCATGCTGCACTGGCTTTTATATCGATGACCACATATATATACATATATACACATAGGCATGCTTAATAGTTTTCTGGGCTCAAACATTTCCTTACTTGGCGGGGTGGCCGCGATGGGCCGCTATTCTGCAAAGCTTGCCCAGATAACTCCGAATGCTCAGACTTTGAAGGCTTTGCCTGCAACTCCGCTTAGGGCCACCCTGCTCCGCCCCGCGGATTTGATTCGGTTTCGGTGGGGAGGGGTGGGGGGGGGGCACTAAAACAAGTGCAAGAAAAGCTTGGCTGAGCCCTTTTCGCTCGGGAGCGGCGTTTCCAAAGCTTTTGCAGAGACCACTGACCATGAGGTGCTGGACGCCGCAGCTGCCAGCATGGTTCCTCGGACTTGAAGACGACCTTGCGCAGGCTGCGATGCGGCAGCAAGTTTATGTAGAAAGAAGATGGAAGACTAAGTCCGAGTTCTGGGAAGATCTTCGCAGCTGATTTTACGTTGCCGTATGAGACTCGGGATCCTGTTTCCTGAACAGCTGGCCGAGAAATGGTGAATAGGGCTAGTAACGGCTGCAGTATAGTAGGTGCCAACAGTTCGAGGCGACATCCCATCTATAGGACCGAATGCGGTGCCATGCAAGTCGGAAGGCTCCTTCTTATCCCAAGCCGAAAGCCTTGCAGGGCCTCCGAAGCGAACGTGCAGGGAGATAAATAAGAATGCACAAGACACATGGTCACTCTGATCACGTGTGTACAGCGATGCTTGTTACAGTTGCTGGCGCTGATGCTGCTATTGCTCAACCCCATCAAGCCTTGTCTTAACCAAGTCGCTAGCATGGCGCTGCCCGGCAGTGGCTGCAACACTCGCAAAGATGCCACGTCTAGGCTGGATAGGCTGGGCTGACCCTGGGCATCAACAAAGGAGGTCACGAGGTTGTAGATCAGGCAAACGTGTTGGATAAGGCAGAACAAAGAAGATGAAAGATAGAAGAAAAGAGCAGGCTTTGATTGGAAGAGGGTTTCGGGAACCACAGTTTTGCAAGCCAAATGGGGCTGGACTCAGGAGTGTGGGCTGAGGTTTCGTTCAGATTCTTAGTAGGGTTTGAAGTATGGGGCCTCTCTGCACCCTCGTTCTAGATAGACGATGGAGCCGATTGATGAGCTTAGCCAAACAACAAATTCGTGATCTGCTTTGCCCAGATACACTGCCTTGCGGAAAGGTAATCTCGCTGCCAAACGCCGGCGAAAGCCAAACGGTGAGCCGAGCCTTCACCTCGATGCCTGGAGAAGTCCTGCTGCTACGAAGTGTCTCAGACTCCGCCTCTTCCCAAACAAGCGCGGCGCCCACCTCCTCTGTATCTTCCATGACTGAAGATGGGTCATCCAGCCCTTCCAGCCCTTCTGCACGAGCCAGCGCAGCTCTCAGTCGTGCCTCCACTGCATCGGGAACACGGCTGTGTGTAGGTAGCGGAACAGCTGTGGCTGGCTGTGGTTTGGCAGTTGGCTGCTGATAGCACAGGCCCAGCGCAATCAGCGTTTCACAGTCTTCCGCTGAGAGAAGCTCCGGAAAGTAGAAGAGGTCACATGTGTTCGCCTCGATGTGCTTTTCACATGTCTCGGAAGGAAACCGCCAAGCAACCTGACAGGATCTGCACTCGCACGCCGGGAAAGCCTAACCGAAGTGGCATCAACTTCTCCATCCTTAGCCTAGTGTTGGCAGGTGCGGCTTGGTCAAAGAAATGCTGAGAACCATGCCACCGTGCATGGCCCCATCCAATAACAAACTGGCGATGGGCCCAAATTGCCTCCAAGCTGTCCAGGCTGGCCGTAGAAACACGAACTGCAAGCTGCGGGTCAACCGTGCTCGCCACCTTACTTGACAAAACGAACTACAACGCACTTCAGGAAGGACGGCGGCTTGACTCTTGACCGAATGTTGACAAGCGAAAAACAGCAAGTCAGTGGTAGTTCCAGACCTCCATTGAAATGCTTCGAAACGGCTCTGGGCGTTCAGGATGCTGAAAGATTTAAGACCTCCACCGAGTGGCAGCCGCCTCCTGCCCTGCGAGCCAGTCTGCGCAGTTTCCGGCTGGGGCAAGACGGAGAGGGGCCTGCGGCGTGCGGCTTCAGACTTACGGCTGCCGTTGCAACAATGGAGTCCTTAGGTAGGCCCACTCAACAACCCCGCAAGAGTACTTGCACGGGCATGCAAGACTTTTTCACAAAGAACCCCCGCAACACACACCAGATTTACACACATGCGGACTCTATCACCAGCTGGGAGGCTACATACAATGTCTGACAGTATAGTTGCCCATCGTGAGGGCTTGAATGGCGCCTGACATCATGGTCTAGGTTTGGGTAAGGGAAGTCGGAAGACAAACCCAGCAGAGTCTCGGAAGGTTCGAGGCATCTCTGCCTCCGGTCTTCGCCATCCAGATGCGGGGCCAGCGAGCCACCGCGCCTTTCCAGGGTGAAGATCTGAACTTCAGAAAGTCTCATAGAAAGTGCCCTGAAACCTCGAATGCCAGAACATTAGTCAATTGCGGTCCTTCAGGATCTGACCCTGCCAGGGGCTGTCGTACCTGTGGCTCCGTGGTTCCGCTTGAGAAGTCAATCGCTTGCATGACTGGTTGATTGCAGATTGCCCTACCTTCTTGCAACCCCCAGCCCTGGCCGCACATTTGTGTAGGATTGATTCTCAGCATGGTCAGCACAAGCAAAGGCAAGAACGAAAGAAATGGAGATGCATAGAGATACATATTTACTTAAACCAAATTAGCCGAGAAGGCCAGACAAAGTTGATGCATTAAAGAGTTCGACTCCACGCCGGACTTAATGGAGCAACTAAGCTGGTGTGAAAGCGATGCAGAATACAATTCCAGAATCTCTTGAATCCCGACAGGACAACTCAATGGGGTTTATGCTCTCTGTGATCCACTGCTCGGGGTGGCACCAGCAAACGGCCTCCGCCAGCACCTGGGAACTTGCGGAAGATTCGAGAAGCTTCAGAATGGTGCGGGAACCTGGTTCTGCGGAGCCTGGGGTCGACCCATAACATCAGAAGTCTTCAGCTCACACGTGGAGCATGCGGATTTACTTGCTTCTCTGCTGACCTGGACTCTGACAGTATTCTGGCGCGGAGAAAACATAAACGCGGTTGCTGCCACTTGCTGCTGCCCCCTTTGCAGCAATAGCTCCTCCACCTGTACCCTCCGACATTATGATCTGCATTCAAAGTTCGCCATGGCGCTCCAAATCGGCCCAGCGCAGGACGGCAAAGGGCGGGTGCAAACCCTGCCCACGCAGGGTGAGTCAAAGCTCCCACGTTTGGGGGCAGGGTTTGTGATACTGACGTTACACTACTCGACGTGTTACATGACATTTCCGTACACTGTAGCACATAATGTATATATATATATATACGCACCTACTATTATATATACTGTACACATACATAGATGCATTTATACATGTGTAGAACTGCATAATATATGTACATATAGCAGTAGGTGTGTGTATATATACACACACACAACGTAGTGAAATGTAACGTTTGTTCGGATCCACAGGCAACTGGGCGACACGGTGGTACACCAGCCGGCACCCACCTTCAATCTGCGCGGCCCTCTTCTCGCTCGTGCCAGTGGACGTAACCTGGGCGGTCTTGGATTGGGGGTACACCAGGGCTTCTGGATCACTCTGTTATGAATGCTGCGTCACTATAGGTTCTGATACCACTGCTGTGCTAGTCCACTACACAGCAGCAATGCTGCGGCTGAAGGCAAGAAATGCATAGAGAGAGGCCATGGCACCCACACCTCCTCATGTTCTGACAGCCTCCAGGGGCCAATGCAGAGCTTCAGTCGAGATGCGTTCCATGCAAGATCTGATCTTTGACCCTGGATCCTGAATCTCACCGGAGCACCGGTGTCTCCTGTACAGGTAGAACATGGATCCAGATTCATCAGAATTCTACTATTCATGACTCGTATTCGTAATAAGAGGAATATTCATATTAAGATTCATATGGAGGTTTCCGAACATAGGGGTACCCTTTTTGGGGTGCCTTTCATCGGAGTCTATTCTATTTGGGGTATCAGAGGGGTACTTTTTTGGGAATACCCGCATATATACATATATATATATATATGTATATGTCTACTTATATGTCTATGTATATGTATATGTAACAATATGTATACGTATATGTGTGTATATATGTATACACATATACAGCGAGCCTGAGCATCGCCGGGCCCTGAGACTGCGCCACCGCAGCCTCAAGCAGCGCAAGGAGCGTCGGAACGTCGGTCCGGGGCACCTGGGCTAGGAGCCGAGTCGAAATTTTTAGGGTTTAGGGTTTAGGGTTCAAGTTCAATAAGGGGGTTTCGGAAACTAGGGGGGTACCTTCTTGGGGGGGTCCTTATTCTGAAGGACTCCTACGCTTTGGGGTCCCATGTTTCCGTAAACCCCCAGAAGGGCCTCGGGTTGAGGGCTTCAAAACAAGTCCTGTCGCTTGGTTTAAGAATCCACCCTAGAAAGCTCCCAAAGTACCCCCAAAAGTTCGAGGTGCCACTTGTGGCGTACGAGGGGTGGCTCGAGCACTTAAGCTTTCAAAGAGTACACAGCGAGGTCCTCTGTTATTGGACAGGATTTTGTTGGTGAGATATTGGGGCAGCCCAAGCTGTCGACCACTGGCAGCCATCAGTTTGTGACACCCTGCTGCGCTCTAAGAGCCCAGGCAGCGCCCTCCACCTTTCAAAAACCTTGTAAATGCTAGGAAAAGGGGTGCGCAGGAAACCGAACTCAGCATCCCGACCCCCCAACCTCCAAATTTCCCAGCCACTCCCAGCCTCAACGGCAGGAGACGCTGCGCAGCGGCTCCAGCAAGCCAGGCAAGCCTCGAGCTTTGGGCCCTCCTTATGGTACTTAAAGGTACCTATCGAATCCCACACAGTGAACAGCGTGTGCCTTTACTTGAGTCTTAAGTTCTCTGGGTAGCGCGTACCGGCAGTGTTGTTGCTTTGCCCGGATTTGGCTGGCAAGTTCCGGATTGGAGACTTGATGTGCAAGAGTTCCGGAGTCTGAAAGAGGGTCAGCTCCTGGCTTGAAGCTTCCTCTGCATTGAAGCTTACTCTTTTTCTTGGCTTTATAATTCTTGTTCGGGCTATCAGTTGACATAAAGCTGAATCTTAACTCGTGCCACTTCGGGCCCTGCGGGCAGCATCTCGCGTGGAGATCTTGGTCACACCATGTCGACTCTACAGTATGCCACAAAGACACTGATTTCATCTCATGATATTATCTTTGCTTACGCCGTCCGTGTACAGGTGTATCTTGGGAAGCATGCGCACACATGCAATTAATGTCCGTAAACTGCCCATGCCGATGCAACGCTCCTCTTCAATTGCCCTCACACAGACTCACACACGCCTCGCACACGGTGCAGCCCGGCGGTGTTGGCCCAGGAGCCGTGTTGATGACCACCTTCGGTGAGGACAATCGTTAAGGTGGGGCAAGTAAATAGAACTGACCCGCCTTTGACCCCCTAAACCCTAAACCCTAAACCCTAAACCTTGGAGTTGCGACATACGCCGACCTGAAGGTCGCTCACGGTCAAGCCGGCGCGGAGCTCTTTCAGTGCCTGTGGTTGTGGAATCCCGCCCAGCTATGTCATAGTCTCTTCCGGGTATCCGAGAATCACAGGACGATGAAGGGCTTAATGAATTTATAACTGTATGATAGAGTAGAGTGCAGGACCCAGCGCCAAGACTGGTACTTGTTCATCTGCCGCCGCACCTGCACCTTTCAAACGGCATCCTGGCCCCAAAGCTCTACAAACGTAAATTCTCGAAGCCTCAGCCTAAACCTGAAATCCCCAATCCGCTAATCCCTCTTAGCTCTATACATTATACAATGCTCTATATGTCAAACGAGCGTATTCAAGGCCCGTCCTCAGACTGCGCATCTGAGGCGAATCCCATCAAGCAGAGGCTCTCGTCCAAGCCTGCTCTGAACGCATGTGTGGCTCATCAGTAAGACACGAAGAATCATCCTGCCAAGCAAAGCAGCATGAAAATGAATCCAGGAAACAGGTTTTCTATAGATGCCACGCCTTCTTCGTCGAGAAGCAACATGCACTCGTGCTTTGCAAGCGCCAGGCTTTCCGACTTCACTGAGAGCAAGGTGAGGGCTGTGAGGCCCAGGCCTGACAGACTATCGGGCATTGCATGGAACAGCTGCCCTTAGAGCGTGTGTATGTATAGACTATGCATATAGAAATATAGGAACATTATATATGTATATATGTGTGTGTATATCTATTTATCTATTTATTCATTTTTTCATCTTTACGAAATATTACGTATAGAGAGACAGAGAGAGGCACCTTGGAGGTGTACTCGTGCTGCCATGAGCAGCTCTTGCCGCTCCTGCACAGAGGATTCTGCTTTCTGCCCACTTTGGCTCAATCAGCTGCATATGTGCGAACAGAGTCTGCGAAGCGATGTGTCTTGACGACTCGATCAATCTGAACACCTTCCTATGGAGTCTTAGGGAGTTCGAACAGGGAAATACTCCTTGTGGGTCGTTTCACCATGCATCATAGACTGGGGAGCACGGAGCAGTCGGGACTGGCCCAAAAAGCGTGAGGCCTGGGGCCCTCTGCCCCCGCATCGAATGCAACTTTAAAAACCGCATGGCCTGATTCACAGGCGAAGTGTTTTTTGTCCGGCAGTGGTCTTCGAACTAGGGCTTTTTTTTTGTGGAACACAACTTCTTTACGACTTAGCACATGGAGGGCGAAGAAGGAATTGAGGTTCTTGCTCACTCATGTGCAGGGAGCCTGCGGGCGAAGCTCGCGCCATGGCTTCATTGCCTGATGAAGATGACCTTCAGACCTCAAGATGCATAAGCTGACTCCATTGCCCCGGGGTTTGATCCACTCTAGCTGCAGCAGGCCTTGAAGATGGCCCTAAGTGTGGCGACAGTGCTACAGATCGCTGAACACAGAAGCGTCTTGAAGCATGGGGCGTCTTTGCTGTAGCCAGCCGGATGGCGGGCGCTTGTCTGTGCTGGGTCGCTACTGCTTCGTGTTGAACTCTGAACCACAAACTGGCCTCCTGTACAGGCCGTGGCCAGATCTGCTCAACCATAGAGGTCGTCGTCGTCGTCTGCAGCTGCGGCGCTGGCTCCGATACCCACATCGTCAGGCCAATTGATGACCACGCCGCTGGCGCCACCTGCGGTGGAGTTCATGTACACAGGGTCGAACTTCTTCCTGAACTGGTCATACTTTGCAAGGTCAGAGCCTGCAACCGACCGTCGCGCACCTGCAAAGGCCTCTTCGAAGTGCTTGCGGCTGATCTCAGAGCCCATAGTGGTGTCCATGGCATCATCGTCACCTGCTCGCAGCTCGTCAGCTGCAATGGCATCACGCACGGCTGCCTTTGCAGCTCTCTGGCAAAGCTCTGCAAGGTCAGCTCCGCTGAAGCCTTCAGTCTTCTGCGCGATGAAGGACAGCGGCACGTTGGGTGCAATGGGCGACTTTTTGAGGGTAGCCTCCAGGATGCCTTGTCGCGCAGGCAGATCGGGAAGAGGGATGTAGATCAGCTGGTCCAGTCGGCCTGGACGCAGCAAGGCCTCGTCCAACAGCTCAGGGCGGTTCGTGGCACCAATGAAGAACACGTTCTTCTTCGCACCAACGCCGTCAATCTCGGTGAGCAGCTGATTCATCACACGGTCACCTGCACCTCCTGCATCTCCCTGACTCGATCCACGAGCTGTGCCGACCGAATCCAGCTCGTCAAAGAACAGCACGCATGGCGCGGCTGCACGTGCCTTGTCAAAGACCTCTCGCACGTTGGCCTCGGACTCACCGAACCACATGGTCAAAAGCTCGGGGCCCTTGATGCTCACGAAGTTGGCAGAGCACTCACTTGCCACTGCCTTGGCCAGCAACGTCTTGCCACAGCCCGGAGGCCCATAGAACAGCACCCCTCTGGAAGGCTGCATGCCAAACTTTTCGAACTTTTCCGGATGGTCAATGGGATAAAGGATGGTTTCCTGCAAGGACCGCTTGGTGTCCTCCAAGCCTCCAATGTCGTCCCACTTGATGTTTGGCACTTCAACTACGGTCTCACGGAGAGATGAAGGATTCACGGTGCCCATTGCAGACTTGAAGTGGTCTTGCGACACCGCCATCGAGTCCAGCACTTCCGCGTCAATGGTCTCCTCCTCCAAGTCAATGAGGTCCATCTTCTCGCGGATGCATGTGAGTGCGGCTTCTGTGCATAGCTGCGCCAAGTCTGCTCCCACGAAGCCGTGTGTGTTGGACGCAACCTCCTCCAGCTTCACGTCCGTGGCCAACTTCATGTTTTTGGTGTGGATTCGCAGAATCTCCAGCCTGCCATTGTCATCAGGCACTCCGATATCCAACTCTCGATCGAATCGGCCAAAGCGACGCAGCGCCGCATCAATGGAGTTCGGTCGGTTGGTGGCTGCGATCACCACCACTTGCCCTCGCCCCTTGATGCCATCCATGAGTGTCAACAGCTGGGACACCACCCGCTTCTCCACTTCGCCGCTGGTCTTGTCTCGCTTGGGAGCAATTGAATCGATCTCATCAATGAAGATGATGGCCGGCGAGTTCTTCTCGGCCTCTTCGAACGCCTTGCGAAGGTTGGACTCTGCCTCGCCTGCCATCTTGGACATGATTTCGGGGCCATTGATCAGGAAGAAGAAAGCTCCTGTCTCATTTGCAATGGCTCGGGCAATAAGAGTCTTGCCACTACCCGGAGGACCATACAACAGCACACCGCGTGGAGGCTTCACTCCCAGTGTCTTGAACAAAGTTGGGTGGCGCAAGGGCAGCTCAATCATCTCACGGATCTGGCCCATGGCCTTCTTGCAGCCACCGATGTCGTCATAGCCAACGTCGTCAAGGCGTTCCTCGTCTTCGCGCTTCACTGGCTCGCCCTCGCAGTGGATCACCGTGTCGGGGGCCACGATCACAAACTCACCAGGGTCCACGCCCACCACCTTGAACTCCACCGGACGGAAACCTCCTCGCACCAGGAAGAGGTCACCCTGGCGTGCAGGCCTATAAGCCTCCAGGAAGTACGGCTTCAAGTACGTGTCGAACAGGTTGCCTGTGATTCCTTCAATGGTGTCGTCAAGGGGCAGCACATGGATTCGCTTCCCATAGGGCACGTCCCCGCATGCATGCACTGATATGATGTCGCCCAGGCGCACGCGCAGGTTCTTGCGAACCACCTTGTTCATGCGGATTTTGCTGTCGTCCAAGTTCTCATCGGCCAGCACGATGCACACCGTGTCCTTGCGCTTCTTGCCCTTGATCAGCACATTGTCGCCACGGAAGAGGTTCAGCTCCTCCATCTTTGCCTGCGACAGAGAGATTACCTGAGCAGGCAAGTGCGGCCTTCAACTACAGTAAATCCCACAAGCCACTTGCCTGGTGAGGAACAAGGGAGGCTGAGAGACATCAAATGAGAATCATAAAGACACGGTCAATCTTGCGCAGGTATATCTTGCCGAACTGATGTTGGAGCTCATGCTGCAATCGAGGCGCCGAATTGTCGTCATTCAGCGCTTCCTCCACAACCAAGCGATTGGGGGAGCGCTTCTTCTGGGGCTTCGCCGGGTCCGCCGGGACCGGCGCAGCAGGTGGCGCAGGCTCTTCAGCGGCCATGGCAGCAGCAACGCGGAAGCTATAGGGATACTTTTGGGCCTGGCTTGCCTCAAACACGCAAGCACGCATGCGGCCTTGGGAATGCAGACTCTAAGCTTCCTCTGTTGGCGAGATTGCCATTTTGGAACTTCTCACTGCAGAGGACTGGCATCACACCATGGGCAATGATCCCAAGCATTCTCCCCGAGCTTGTTACCGCCTTGTCTTCCACGTCTGTTCGGGTTCGGTGGAAGTGTCTCGCATTTGCTTGTCGCCCTGTTCATGCCGCGAAGCATAGGTACGAGCTGCTAGAGAACCCATGTAACAAAATAATTAGCCGCTGATAGCCCATGCAAAAGACTCCGGACAAGCAAGCGGAAAATCACTATTTGTGCGTTGTTCCGTAGAACAAGACCAGCGTGTTTGTCACAAACTCGCCTGATCTCAAAACCTCTCGAAGCATGCGTGACTATTTACAAGCTCTACATCGTATGCCTTTCAAGCTGGAGCAGGACCAGACCTCGGCCCGTTTAGCCGTAGAGGTCGTCGTCGTCGTCTGCAGCTGCGGCGCTGGCTCCGATACCCACGTCATCAGGCCAATTGATGACCACGCCGCTGGCGCCACCTGCGGTGGAGTTCATGTACACAGGGTCGAACTTCTTCCTGAACTGGTCATACTTTGCAAGGTCAGAGCCTGCAACCGACCGTCGCGCACCTGCAAAGGCCTCTTCGAAGTGCTTGCGGCTGATCTCAGAGCCCATAGTGGTGTCCATGGCATCATCGTCACCTGCTCGCAGCTCGTCAGCTGCAATGGCATCACGCACGGCTGCCTTTGCAGCTCTCTGGCAAAGCTCTGCAAGGTCAGCTCCGCTGAAGCCTTCAGTCTTCTGCGCGATGAAGGACAGCGGCACGTTGGGTGCAATGGGCGACTTTTTGAGGGTAGCCTCCAGGATGCCTTGTCGCGCAGGCAGATCGGGAAGAGGGATGTAGATCAGCTGGTCCAGTCGGCCTGGACGCAGCAAGGCCTCGTCCAACAGCTCAGGGCGGTTCGTGGCACCAATGAAGAACACGTTCTTCTTCGCACCAACGCCGTCAATCTCGGTGAGCAGCTGATTCATCACACGGTCACCTGCACCTCCTGCATCTCCCTGACTCGATCCACGAGCTGTGCCGACCGAATCCAGCTCGTCAAAGAACAGCACGCATGGCGCGGCTGCACGTGCCTTGTCAAAGACCTCTCGCACGTTGGCCTCGGACTCACCGAACCACATGGTCAAAAGCTCGGGGCCCTTGATGCTCACGAAGTTGGCAGAGCACTCACTTGCCACTGCCTTGGCCAGCAACGTCTTGCCACAGCCCGGAGGCCCATAGAACAGCACCCCTCTGGAAGGCTGCATGCCAAACTTTTCGAACTTTTCCGGATGGTCAATGGGATAAAGGATGGTTTCCTGCAAGGACCGCTTGGTGTCCTCCAAGCCTCCAATGTCGTCCCACTTGATGTTTGGCACTTCAACTACGGTCTCACGGAGAGATGAAGGATTCACGGTGCCCATTGCAGACTTGAAGTGGTCTTGCGACACCGCCATCGAGTCCAGCACTTCCGCGTCAATGGTCTCCTCCTCCAAGTCAATGAGGTCCATCTTCTCGCGGATGCATGTGAGTGCGGCTTCTGTGCATAGCTGCGCCAAGTCTGCTCCCACGAAGCCGTGTGTGTTGGACGCAACCTCCTCCAGCTTCACGTCCGTGGCCAACTTCATGTTCTTGGTGTGGATTCGCAGAATCTCCAGCCTGCCATTGTCATCAGGCACTCCGATATCCAACTCTCGATCGAATCGGCCAAAACGACGCAGCGCCGCATCAATGGAGTTCGGTCGGTTGGTGGCTGCGATCACCACCACTTGCCCTCGCCCCTTGATGCCATCCATGAGTGTCAACAGCTGGGACACCACCCGCTTCTCCACTTCGCCGCTGGTCTTGTCTCGCTTGGGAGCAATTGAATCGATCTCATCAATGAAGATGATGGCCGGCGAGTTCTTCTCGGCCTCTTCGAACGCCTTGCGAAGGTTGGACTCTGCCTCGCCTGCCATCTTGGACATGATTTCGGGGCCGTTGATCAGGAAGAAGAAAGCTCCTGTCTCATTTGCAATGGCTCGGGCAATAAGAGTCTTGCCACTACCCGGAGGACCATACAACAGCACACCGCGTGGAGGCTTCACTCCCAGTGTCTTGAACAAAGTTGGGTGGCGCAAGGGCAGCTCAATCATCTCACGGATCTGGCCCATGGCCTTCTTGCAGCCACCGATGTCGTCATAGCCAACGTCGTCAAGGCGTTCCTCGTCTTCGCGCTTCACTGGCTCGCCCTCGCAGTGGATCACCGTGTCGGGGGCCACGATCACAAACTCACCAGGGTCCACGCCCACCACCTTGAACTCCACCGGACGGAAACCTCCTCGCACCAGGAAGAGGTCACCCTGGCGTGCGGGCCTATAAGCCTCCAGGAAGTACGGCTTCAAGTACGTGTCGAACAGGTTGCCTGTGATTCCTTCAATGGTGTCGTCAAGGGGCAGCACATGGATTCGCTTCCCATAGGGCACGTCCCCGCATGCATGCACTGATATGATGTCGCCCAGGCGCACGCGCAGGTTCTTGCGAACCACCTTGTTCATGCGGATTTTGCTGTCGTCCAAGTTCTCATCGGCCAGCACGATGCACACCGTGTCTTTGCGCTTCTTGCCCTTGATCAGGACATTGTCGCCACGGAAGAGGTTCAGCTCCTCCATCTTTGCCTGCGACAGAGAGATTACCTGAGCAGGCAAGTGCGGCCTTCAACTACAGTAAATCCCACAAGCCACTTGCCTGGTGAGGAACAAGGGAGGCTGAGAGGTATCAAATGAGAATCATAAAGACACGGTCAATCTTGCGCAGGTATATCTTGCCGAACTGATGTTGGAGCTCATGCTGCAATCGAGGCGCCGAATTGTCGTCATTCAGCGCTTCCTCCACAACCAAGCGATTGGGGGAGCGCTTCTTCTGGGGCTTCGCCGGGTCCGCCGGGACCGGCGCAGCAGGTGGCGCAGGCTCTTCGGCAGCCATGTCGAGATTTGTTACCTCGATTACACTGAGCGCCTGGTATTTTGTCTCTTTGATCCTGCGTTCCCAACGGACTTCTTACAGGTAGGGAACTTGCTACATGGACGCACTGGCAGCAGGGGCGTTACGTACCATCCTTGCCTGTGACTTGGCAACCGAATGAGATCTAATGAGAGTTGCGTGACCACTTTTTTACCTCATATATATATATATATGTATTTATTTAATCTAATTTATGTATTTACATATTTATATTTAAATGAACGTGAAGGGTCCTTCGCATGCAGAGCTCAGCTTTTTGCCACTCTCTTCCTTCACTAGCGTCAGCCAGCTTGATCTCTTGGGCCTATGCCCGCAGATTTGATTTTCGGTACCACCCCGCTCGAATCATGAAAAGCTGGGGTCTTGCGACTATTGTGGAACAAACTCTCCGATCTTGAAACAGTTCCCTACAAACGGTCCCGCAGCTCTGCCTCAGCCGTAGAGGTCATCGTCGTCGTCCGCGGCTGCGGCGCTGGCTCCGATACCCACGTCATCAGGCCAATTGATGACCACGCCGCTGGCGCCACCTGCGGTGGAGTTCATGTACACAGGGTCGAACTTCTTCCTGAACTGGTCATACTTTGCAAGGTCAGAGCCTGCAACCGACCGTCGCGCACCTGCAAAGGCCTCTTCGAAGTGCTTGCGGCTGATCTCAGAGCCCATAGTGGTGTCCATGGCATCATCGTCACCTGCTCGCAGCTCGTCAGCTGCAATGGCATCACGCACGGCTGCCTTTGCAGCTCTCTGGCAAAGCTCTGCAAGGTCAGCTCCGCTGAAGCCTTCAGTCTTCTGCGCGATGAAGGACAGCGGCACGTTGGGTGCAATGGGCGACTTTTTGAGGGTAGCCTCCAGGATGCCTTGTCGCGCAGGCAGATCGGGAAGAGGGATGTAGATCAGCTGGTCCAGTCGGCCTGGACGCAGCAAGGCCTCGTCCAACAGCTCAGGGCGGTTCGTGGCACCAATGAAGAACACGTTCTTCTTCGCACCAACGCCGTCAATCTCGGTGAGCAGCTGATTCATCACACGGTCACCTGCACCTCCTGCATCTCCCTGACTCGATCCACGAGCTGTGCCGACCGAATCCAGCTCGTCAAAGAACAGCACGCATGGCGCGGCTGCACGTGCCTTGTCAAAGACCTCTCGCACGTTGGCCTCGGACTCACCGAACCACATGGTCAAAAGCTCGGGGCCCTTGATGCTCACGAAGTTGGCAGAGCACTCACTTGCCACTGCCTTGGCCAGCAACGTCTTGCCACAGCCCGGAGGCCCATAGAACAGCACCCCTCTGGAAGGCTGCATGCCAAACTTTTCGAACTTTTCCGGATGGTCAATGGGATAAAGGATGGTTTCCTGCAAGGACCGCTTGGTGTCCTCCAAGCCTCCAATGTCGTCCCACTTGATGTTTGGCACTTCAACTACGGTCTCACGGAGAGATGAAGGATTCACGGTGCCCATTGCAGACTTGAAGTGGTCTTGCGACACCGCCATCGAGTCCAGCACTTCCGCGTCAATGGTCTCCTCCTCCAAGTCAATGAGGTCCATCTTCTCGCGGATGCATGTGAGTGCGGCTTCTGTGCATAGCTGCGCCAAGTCTGCTCCCACGAAGCCGTGTGTGTTGGACGCAACCTCCTCCAGCTTCACGTCTGTGGCCAACTTCATGTTCTTGGTGTGGATTCGCAGAATCTCCAACCTGCCATTGTCATCAGGCACTCCGATATCCAACTCTCGATCGAATCGGCCAAAGCGACGCAGCGCCGCATCAATGGAGTTCGGTCGGTTGGTGGCTGCGATCACCACCACTTGCCCTCGCCCCTTGATGCCATCCATGAGTGTCAACAGCTGGGACACCACCCGCTTCTCCACTTCGCCGCTGGTCTTGTCTCGCTTGGGAGCAATTGAATCGATCTCATCAATGAAGATGATGGCCGGCGAGTTCTTCTCGGCCTCTTCGAACGCCTTGCGAAGGTTGGACTCTGCCTCGCCTGCCATCTTGGACATGATTTCGGGGCCATTGATCAGAAAGAAGAAAGCTCCTGTCTCATTGGCAATGGCTCGGGCAATAAGAGTCTTGCCACTACCCGGAGGACCATACAACAGCACACCGCGTGGAGGCTTCACTCCCAGTGTCTTGAACAAAGTTGGGTGGCGCAAGGGCAGCTCAATCATCTCACGGATCTGGCCCATGGCCTTCTTGCAGCCACCGATGTCGTCATAGCCAACGTCGTCAAGGCGTTCCTCGTCTTCGCGCTTCACTGGCTCGCCCTCGCAGTGGATCACCGTGTCGGGGGCCACGATCACAAACTCTCCAGGGTCCACGCCCACCACCTTGAACTCCACCGGACGGAAACCTCCTCGCACCAGGAAGAGGTCACCCTGTCGTGCGGGCCTATAAGCCTCCAGGAAGTACGGCTTCAAGTACGTGTCGAACAGGTTGCCTGTGATTCCTTCAATGGTGTCGTCTAGGGGCAGCACATGGATTCGCTTCCCATAGGGCACGTCCCCGCATGCGTGCACTGATATGATGTCGCCCAGGCGCACGCGCAGGTTCTTGCGAACCACCTTGTTCATGCGGATTTTGCTGTCGTCCAAGTTCTCATCGGCCAGCACGATGCACACCGTGTCCTTGCGCTTCTTGCCCTTGATCAGCACATTGTCGCCACGGAAGAGGTTCAGCTCCTCCATCTTTGCCTGCGAAAGCGAAATGACCTTAAGCGTGAGGTTGCTGACAGCTCGAGACATGCATCTTGCACATTAGCTGTGGGGGGCCATCACCAACCCTTGGGATCAAGCCATCAGCACAGCTGTTACACACGAGATGGTCCAAAACGGCCGGGACGTCAGGCGTAAGTATCTCATGTTTATTGAAAACGCATGGGAATGAGCGCGAGGCTGAGTTGTCATCGTTGAGAGCTTCCTCCACAACCAGCCTGTTTGGCGACCTTCCACAAACAAGGCTGTGAGTTCAGCGATGCTATCTACTGAATATGCAGTATATAAGCCTGCCTGCCAGAGATCTTTACAAACGTGGCCTATAGTCCCAATTCACTCTCTGCACAAGAGCCTGTCCTGCCCCTGCAGCTGCCCCTCTAAACCCTAAACCCGAAACCCTAAACCCTAAACCTGATGAAGCACCTCTTCTTCTGTGGCTTGGCCGGGTCCGCCGGAGGGGGCGCCGGAGCGACGTTCTCTTCAGCCATGGCGGGAAGATGCCTGGGGGCCTCTGAGTTTTCGAATTGCTCTGAGCCGGTGAGATCCAGCGCCCTATGCTCCAGGAGAAGTGCTCCGCCAAAAAACCCCGAACCCCAAGTCCGAATGAGGCCATGCAGTACAAGGAATGAGGCCAGTGCCTGCAGTGCGATCGCATGCAATTCTTTTGGTCGCTTGCGCGAAGCACTGAGTGATATCATTCGAGGCAGCACCTCTGAGATTTCAAGGTGCTGTCACATGCTATGCAACAGGCAGGTAAAACGGCCTTCATCTGCTTGCAGAATTGAAGCAACTGCTAATCATTTGGCATACTAACTTTTAATGACCTCAAGCCGTGAATCCGGTGTAAGGACGCTCGACCAGCCAGTCTATGCGGAATGCCGTGGGACGACTCATGCGCCAGGAAGCACCTCCCAAAGCATGTCTGTGTCCATCGCAGACAACTGCAAACGTTTGCATTCAAGAGCCAACGCCTGTCAACCCACACTCACACACACACACATGTGCTTCCACGCCAGGCCAGAACACCGGAGCTGAGGACGAAACTCTCCAAACGACAATGGCGCGACTTCCTTCCACAACCTGCAGAATCTGAATCGCCAAACGGACGGCCAAAGCGCAAGAATGCCAATAAACAAATAAACAAATTATTTTACTTCGAACATCCCCACCCTCTCTTGGTAGAGATACTCTGGGGTTGGGGCCCGACTCTGGGGCTGGGCATTGGGCACCCCAGGGAGACGTTGGGCACTCTCTGTGAGGGTCGACCACTTTAGGCAGACTCCGGAATTGGGCACTCCAGGGAGAATCTGGGCCGGCTGGGCACTCGGGACACTCTGGGGTTGGGCACTCCAGGGAGACTATGGGGTTGGGCACTCCGTCTTGGGACTCCAACGAAACTCTGGGGTTGGACACTCCAGGGAGACTCCGGGGTTGGATTTCAGGGACACTTTGGGGTTGGGCACTACAGGGATGAGCGAGGAGTAGACTGGGCGAGGAGAAGAGTTCCGGGCGAGGAGAAGAGTTGAGTTTAAAATCTAACAACCCCACACCGAGGGTGGGGAATAACTAAATACGCACACACACACACATATATATATATACACACATATACATAGTATGTATTACATGTCAATCCATTCGAGTATATTGCTGCACAACGCTCACAACAGGTGAAGCTGTCCGCCTCAACGCCTGGGCCTCTGCTTGGCAGATTTCGTGGCACAAAAGGGAATGTGCCGTTCCTGGGATGAAGCGTGGCCAGCTAGAAATACGAAGAACGGGCCCTAGACTTCAAGCAAAGCCCCACAACAGCCATACACACCCGGTCTACAGCATACATGCCTCATGGCCGCGAGGCAACGGAGGCTCTGAGGCCTCGACTGCCTGCGTGGACCCGAAACGACGACCGCAATGGGGGCAAGGCACCCGGTCCTCCGAGCTCCGAGTGTTCTGAGCTTTGGGCTTGGCGGCATCAAATCTGGGAGGAAATTTCGAAGAACCCACGCAGGAACCTACCTCATAAGGTAGTTCTGCCAGAGCCGGGAAATTAACAAAGGGTGCCTACTGAGCCATCATGCGCTACTGCAAGCAGGAGGCACTCTTTCAGAACGATGACAGTAGAACTTTGCTATGGCTGGGTCCGATGCGCAGCGTTGTACCCCACACAACCGAATGTCATCCCCTGCTGATCGGACAACTCAGTGCCCCACGTCCATTGCAGGGTCTGTTGGCGGCGGCGGCGGAAGATTTCTCAAGCTCTTGCCATCCTCTGACGTCATGGAGGGGAAGTTGGCATGTCAAGGCATGTCAAGGCTCAGGGTAATTCTGAGGCTTGATACGCAAATAGCAGCTAGTTACAGCTAGTTGTCACATGTTGTCTGACTGGGATGATCTTGGCCCGGAAGTGCGCAACGCTTCCCATACTGAGATCCTTTATGTGCTGGTCCACGACGCGCGCCTGCAAAGACTCCGATTTCGAAGATAAGAAACTGGGAGACATGAACATGATGGTGTTGATGACACATGTGCATGCAATGGCCCGCCATCATATCCCCAAGCTCCGAACACTTCTCAGAACCTTAATAAAAACACGATGTTGAATATTCTCTTGGGCTTTAGATAAACCAAAAAAATATTCCCAAGGGAACTATAGACAAGCCTTACCCTTAGTGCGGCCCAGCCTGTCTGATGGCCTGCCGGAAGGCTTCGGACTGCTTCTTCCAGGTGGGGACTGCGAAGGCCAAAGTGCTCTCAGAGATGGCGTCCATGGTGTCTGAAGCTAGTTTGTCACAACAGAGCTGACAGAGCTGAGCTCTGACTCCGCAGGGTCATGAAGGCGGCATGTCTGGAGGCTCAGGGACCACGTCGGAGCCTTCGCGAGACCTTCCATTTTCCCTGCACGGACGGCGAGTAAAGGTTTGCACTTTGCACAGTCAGCTGGCGCAAAAGTGGGAGGAAACTGCGGGACCTTGATGTGTCTCTAGCAAAGGTGGTTTTCAGGCTTGCTGAACTGTTTTGACACAGAAAATGCGAAAGCACAAGACTGCCAATCTAGCCTGATATGTGTGCAGCACAGCTGTGGCTCTGCTTCACGACTATGTGAGTGGAGTGCGGAGAGTATTTGCAGATGTGTCGCCAGTCGCCACTACCCTAAACGCATACAGTATCATATACATCTCTATAAGTGTTCTAATTGACATCCTCGAGCTGCAACTATGTCCCTTTCGCAGTCTGCCTCTCAGAATCCAGAGGCCGTGCCCTCAAATGTGCCTCTGCCTCGGGGCACATTAGCCCCTAAAGAAGCACAGCCAAGAAACCACAACGTCCATCGCCCGGGACTTGAGACGTTGACCCTTCCCTGCTCCAAACCTTCTGCAGACGATTCGCTCCTGACTGTGCCAGTCGCACATACCAGGCGAGTTGATGTGGTGGGATGCAAGGCTTCTCGCGCATGCCCTTGCAGGCGCTTCAAGATGACTCAAGACCAGAAATTGGTCTTGCGCACTCTGCCTGCGAGTCAACTGCGGCACATCCCAGTAAGAAGCCCGGGGCTGTCTCAGAAAGGCCCGTGCTGGCTCTATCAACTAAGTTCTTTGACTGGCCTCTCACAGGAGGCGCAGCGACATCCAGGCAAACAAAAATGTGAGGAAAATACGTGCACAAAAGGCACGGGACTGTACCAATCCATGCCTGAGTTAAACCAGTACTTCGTTACTTCGTATACAAGTCCAAGCCCCGGTCAAGATCGCTCACCTCATCCAGTCTGCGCCTTCGTCCCAGAGAATTCACCCTCATGCGAACCCCAAATATCCCTCAAGATTCCAAAAAACTCCTACATCTGCATTATAAAGAGAACCAACCATGCTACAGGCGCCTGGGACTGTTCCGCCCATTGAACACCTCTCAGGCAAGGGCGCCACTACGACGCCGCTCAGAAAGGGCAGGGAGGAAGGGATCTAACGAGCCTCTTCAAGGGGCCATGTTACGTCTCGGCGCTCCTTGCACCAAAGATACATGGGAACGCCCTGTTGCCAGCCCAAGCTCTGCCGGGGTGGAGAGTGTGGAGCCAATTGCAGTCCGATGTCATAGCATCACCCGGTAAAGGCAAACCCTAAGTCGGCCAGCAATAGCTCTCCAAACTGCCTCCCTGGGAAGCTATGATGGTGCGGGTTGGGGCCCTGCAAACCGGCAGTGCCAAGGATGGTTTTGCCTTCGTTTTCCTGTCATGCTGAACCCTGGCACTGCCCAACTCCTCAGCTCTGAGGCAGTGAAACCTGAATTGTCCCGTTAAACAGACTTCCAAAAGTCAGGACATGCACTACTCACAGCTTTCTGAAAACGTTCGGTGCGCCACCACACCACAACTGCACCAATGATTTGACATTGGGTGAACCTGCAAGCTTGTCGTTCATGAGATATATGTAGCATGTATATTACATCTACTACAATGTTTTTTTGCCCAGCGAAGGGGCTTTCGAGGGGTCCCCGTCCCTGACGGCCCTACTACAACGACGCTCGAATCAACAAACCTGATGGTTAAACGTCACCAATATAAGCGCCGCCAACAATTGAATCCCAAGGCCATGATTGTCAGACCAGTCCCGTTTGCACCGTGGGGCAAACCAGAGGCCACTACCACGCTACACTATACGACACCTTGATGATCCCCACCGGTACTCAACACTGAGGACCGTGTGCCACCATCACCATCGACCACCGTGACGACTACAGTGACTGTGAATATGGCTACTGCCCTCTGCAGCTCTGTTACTGCTGCTTCTGCCATCTCCTGTCATTGCTGCCCACACCTAAGAGCACTCATGTCCTCCTACGAAAAAACAGCCCGTCCCCTGCTGGACTCGAATTCATGCTTGCTGCCCGGTATATGTCCAAGATGCATCGTGGTGGGAGGCTCTGCTCCGAGCCGGAGGCACCGCACGTCCGCGGGGCAAATGCAGGTGCACTCATTCGCAGCACAGGGCCTTGCCTGCCCCTCCAAAACGCCGCCGCTTGCACTTGTGCCCTAAACCCTTTTGCATTAAACCCCAAACCCTAAACCTTATACCCTATACCCTATACACTACCGGTACAAGTCTAGGAGTCTGACAGTCTGACCGTGGGCGGCGTGATGGACAGGGCAATGCCCGGCCCACTGTGTAGACCGTGAGGTCATTTCGAAAACCAAATACCAGGAGGCGAGGGCCAACACAATCAGTAATTTGTAACTAGCACTGAAGAGAATCATAGAATGGATATGCTCTGACATGACATCTCAGACGCAAAGCAAGATAAAACGAGAGAAGGGACACAACGAACAATCACCCCGACAAAACTGGTTGATTGAATTTACTTGGACCTTGCCTCTGCTGAACAGCCGCTTACAAGCCTGTTAGCTGTGAAAAATACGATGGTTCGCAAGGTGGTCAGGCGAAACACATCTCTTAGACATGAGCACCAGATCGCAAGTTTGTCACGCGCTCGAGGTGCCAATATGGTATGGTGCTTCTGAGTCTTCCAGCATTTTACGTACACTCAGAGGACCCGATTCATCCCTGCAATCGCCGCAGCTGAGCAGCTCTGAAACCCAGAAGGGAAGCGCATGCATGCACGGTCAGCTGGCACTGTATGTGCCCTGTGCGAAAGAATCAAATTCGTTCACATCGGCAGATGCCCACATGAAACGAGGCAAGGACTGCGTGTCAGCGCTTTCAGCCGCAAAATGCTCTGGTCGCTTGGGCAGCTTCCCTGTGCGGGGCGAACCCGCAAGTTGCAGGAAGCCCTGTGAACACCTCGCATGAGCGAGGCGGTGCCACCGTCTGCTAGCTTCAAGCGGGACAGTGCAGAGATCTCAGCCCAGATTCCGGTGAGACCAGGTTTTCTCTGACATGCCCCAAGAACAAGTGAACGCCTGTCAAGGCGAAACAAATTCTGAATTTGTACCAGGTGCCCCGTGGCCGGCTCCTGCTATGCGGTCATTAAACATCAATTAAGAACCATTGGCAGCCGAACCTGCATACCCTGTAGGCATTGCAGTCCGGCTCACATGGTTTTGGTCTGTTGACCTGACCAACAGCGGCTTCTTCTGTCTAGAAACGGATGTGCCATAGAATGCTAGTACTGCCTGACATGGCATCATATCCCTAAACCCTAAACCCTATTAAGGGGTCAATCTTCAGCAGAGTTCCGGAATCCTTGGCCTGGGAGTGTACTGCCGAGAAAGTCCACGACCGAGTACTCCACAGTGCCAAAGCCTTTCGAATGCACTTCTGCTTCTGCAAACGGACTCTACCGGAAGGTCTACCACCGTCAACCCGAAACCTTTCAAACCACTGAAGAACCAGGAGGGGTGCAGATTTGCTTTGGGAGGTTGTGCTTTGTCCTGGCCTTTGCTGATTCGGGGGCTCTTCATGGTTTTTGCAGCTAAGAGCGAAACTCAATTTTGAAGCCACTACCCTCACATGGGCCGAAACGAAATCAACACCTTTTGATGAAAAGGAACCATTCCAACCTAGGAACCTCCTAACCCACTGCACACCAGCCCAAGCACGCCATCCCCATGCCCCAGTTCCACTGCACTGTATACTGAAATAGTTATACTAATATACTATATTGTACTATATGATGCTACATTATACTATATTACTTTACTATATTATACTTCATTTTCTAATATTATTCTACTTTTATATATTATACGATATTATACTATATGATCCTTGCCCTTTTCTGCTCTGTAACTCCCTGCTACTCTTCTCGTTGTACCACGTGAGGTGTGCATCGGTCTTGAGAGCTTCACAGCACTGCAATGGAAGGTGCGGAAAGAAACGCATCAAGCGGAATACAAAAAACAACACAAACACACACAACAAGCAGAATCACTGAAACATGAATCGATAGGCAGAAGCGAACACACCGAAGCCTAGCCGACACAATAACTAACGGAAAGCAACAGATGCAATAGCAAAACACCGATGTAGAGATTATTTGGCCCAAGCGGCCCTTCAAATCCACTGTTTCCGGTACAAGGTGGAAGTCTTCCTCACTGACCTCGCGCTGCAGATCAGAGAGAAAGGGCTATAGAGCCTAGAGCCGTAAGAGTTCGGGGATTGACCTTCGCTAAATCTAACTATGGCTCGGGGATTGATGAGGTGTCCTGCATGGGAACTGCTCCGATCGTGCAAAATGGTGTACGCCAGTGGCTTCATGGGGAGTAGAAGTCCCAAAGCTGAGGCACTGAGGCATTCATGGCTCTGATCTCCGAAGCTCTTAGAAGCAAACATCAGCAACTCAAGCAACAAAGCCACCCAGCCTCCTTCAGGAGCTGCGTTGTGAAGCTCTTGCAACCTAAGGGTGGGCCTAAACCCTAAACCCTAAACCCTAAACCCTAAACCCTAAACCCTAAACCCTAAACCCTAAACCCTAAACCCTAAGCTGACTTTGCAGGGTCTCCATAGAGCCCATCGCAGTGGCTGAGCCAGGCTGAGCCCCAGGCAGGCAATGCGCGAACGTGGGCATACGGATTCCAAACGCTGGGAGAGGTGGATCCTTAATTTCGTCCGTCTGCGTTTCTCTGTGAAGCAGGGATCTGGCCATGTTCTTACGAGTAGGACCGCTCTGTGGGGAGGCCCGGTACGGCACTCTGGCGAGATCTCTGGGAATCTCGAGACAGCGAAGCCCAGTAGCAAGCTCACCAACAATCGTTTGAGGACAGTGGTGCATGGTGGTGGGCATAATTCAGGCCAGCTACCCTGCCATGTATGTAGCATCCCCAATGAAAGACGTGGGCATGCGGCATGAGCTTTGGCCGAGAGTCGTCGATCCAAATACACGGAAGTTGCGACCATCCACCACTCCAGCACACAAGGGTCCCAAGGCAATTCCAGTCCGCATGTACATTCCTTGCAAAATCTGCAGCAAGTCGCTGGGAAAACCCTCTTGAAGGCTTGTGCCATTGCCCAGGCATCTCACATTTCTGCACATTCTAAGAGTGTGCACGCTGTAAAGATTAGTAGGATGCTCCCAACTACCAGTAGACGGCCAAGCAACCATGATCGCCGCCTGCAAAGACTGACAGCATCTCGTCCACAGCTCTCTGCACCTGAAAATTGTTGGCTTCGCTGATGAAGAAACCTGTGCCTTCGATTTACATTTTCGAACACAACCCCCATCCTCGGCTGCGACGTAGATGGCTATCGAAGCCGTCCGGCCTCACAAATGTATTCGGCCAGTGGTGTATCCATCTACAAAGCTCTATAGGTGCCGCCTGGATATCGCGCCATGAACTCTGCATTGCAAAGCAGAAGTAAGCCTTGGCCCAGCTTGATGTCATTGGTGTTAGGGCTTCGCATAGTGCTCATAGGCTTGCATTCTAGATCAGGGACGGGAAGGTTCCCTTCCTGGATTCCCCGTGTTGCACGCCCCAGTTCGGGAGGGTCGGTGTTGCGATCCTTCTTGTCACGGCGCGTTTCACTACTCGCACTCTCTTTTGGTTCTCCGCTCTCTCCGTCTTCTTGTTCTTCTTGTCATCGGTGGCCGGTGGGCTGTTGGAGTTCGGTTACTCAGCCAGCTCCCCTGCATCCTGCCGCGCAGCTGCTGCTCAGCCGCGCACGCTTCTCATCGGCCACCAGCTTTTCATGTAAGACATGCGCCAGCCCAACGCAGGGAGGAGGATCAGGGGCCGAGGGAGCCAGGATTTTGAAACAATCCTTGAACAACACGCCAGGCCCCCTTTCCCCGTTACCCTGTTGAACTGAAGTGCTGCAAACAATTTGTTCTCTCTTCCTTCAAGGGTGGAAGGCCCCCCAGAGAAAGATGTCTCTTTCTTGTCTGGGATCAGGCCATGGTTGCCTCTCCCCCTCAACCCGAATCCCCCGTCTCCAACTCCTGAAATCCCTCCTCCCATCCCCCCGACATCTGGAACTTCTACTTTCGCTGACTGCACAAAAGGTGCTACCTCATGCGGGCAGCATCTTATGTCAGCCATGTCTCCCTCTTTTTTGTTTTTTCTTCTTCTTCTGCTGGCTGGGGATGACGGGTGCCCCCACCCCCACCCACGAGCAAGGTGCGCCGTGTCACGTGGTCCCAGTGAGACTTCCAACGTAAGGAGTTCCCCCCCATACAGCGCCAGTTGCAATCATGCAGCGAGGTGTTGACACCAGACCCTCTCTCTTGCTTTTTTTGTTCCTCTCATTCTTTCTTTATCTATCTTTCTGGGGGGCTGGGGGCTGGCCCCGCGCGCAATGTATTCCAGTCGGCGCGGTCAGTCCCTCTCTCGTTCTTTCTTTCTCTCTCCTTCCCTCTTACGCGTGACACAGCACATCTCTATACTCTTAAAACACCCAGCCAGCTCCTAACCTGTCGCCGAAATACTGTCACCAACTGCCTCATGGATGTAGACGTAGGGATGCGCCTCTCTCTGGACCACTGCGTTGGCAGTAACATAGACCTGAGTCTCTTGTCACAAATAGCTTCCTTCGTCTCCTTCAACACAAACTATGATCAGCTTTTTGGTGACAATGTGATGTAGCAGGAACTATGCCGCAGAGAATGACTCATAAGGCTGGGTTTCGATGCCCCACTACAAGCACCGTTCAAGATGCTGAGCTCCGGGGCAACCCGAATTGGGCCTGCTCTGGGAAAAACTGTTCTTTCGCGTAGGGTCTAACTTGTCCCGACTCGTGGATACACGCATGAACCAGGATACAGACATGAACGCACGCTAAAGCAGAGACGCCTACACCAATACTAACCATTGCCATTATACTAACGGCACATGATACAGCTTGCAATTGCCATGTGTTGTTGTCATTTGCAGACAAACAAAACCAAAAAAACAACGAACTTACAAACATACATACGCACATCATAAACACCTACAAAAAGTGAGACACGTAAAGACGCAGCTACACATTGGTACGTGCATTGCATTACATGTTGTGCTGGTGCAAAGGCAAACGATATCAAAGGACCTCAGATGACCTCAGGCCCGAACCTGGTGCAGGAGCTCGGCCATCCTCCGTGGAGGATGAGTGGCCGCAAAGCGTGTTGTGTTGGCCAGGTCCGTCATAATACAGGCCACCTCCTGTAGGCAAAAGGAGGATCTATCTAAATCTTGCATTCCTTTGCACTCGAGCTTAAGACCCATTCAGTAGCGACCACCAGTCCGCGCAGTTGCACAACCATCATTGCACAGGTTCGATCACTTCATGCCAACGTTGTTTCCCAAAAGGTGCCATGTCCTCGCAGTCAATGACATGGGGAACTTCAGGCTGGCGCAGGTACCGTCCGAATCCACGCGGAACGCACTGCGCAATCTTGCCCTTGACACTTTCGAACACCTTACTTTTCATGGCTTGCTCGGGGCAGCTCTAATTTTTACACCTTATGTTCCGAGCTTTGGACAACAAGCGTGGGCATTATACCTTCTCTTGAATCATCCCAGTCTCCACCATCATCCTCACCCCGGCAAAGGGCCCCCAAATCATCCCGAGGCACAAATCTACAGGCTTGGGGGGGGGGGGTTCTGGAGGGCAGTACCTCTTGCTCTCTTGCTTTCTTCTCCTTCTGGCCCGGGGGCTAGCAAAAGTACCCCCTAAAATGTACACCATGCACTTTTCTCTTGATGGGCAGGGGCAGCTTGCAATTGACTACAACAATACCTATTCCTTGCGGGAGGTATGTGAGGTATTCGGGTTGGAACTCTCTGGTCCACCTTGCAAGTTCCAGAACTCTTTAGCTCACGCCCAGGTTCAAGCTTTGACGAGAGGTCTGCGTGGATGTTGACCTCACATCATAGGGCTTTGTGCACAGTGTTCCTGAGTTCCTTATGCGTTAAGGGAGCGGTGGCTCAGTGAGCCCTCCAAACTTCAAGCCCAGCGAAGGCAGGCGAAGGGGGGCACCCAAACGACACCTAAACCCTACAGTAAACCCTAAACCCTAAACCCTAAACCCTAAACCCATTTTAAGCCGGGCAGCCATGAGTCGACAGGAAAGTGGGTTACCATCTGCGTCCAGGATCACGGCATCACCTGACTTCCAACAGGGCAAAAGTGGTCATGAGCACTGCCCTGCTATGGCAGCTGTAGTTCGAAGCGGTTTCAAAGCCCATTTCGGGGAACCAGTGACCTTGAAACCCCATGGAAAAACCCCCCCAAAACTTGTATGAATTCCAGGCGGCGGCAGCGTGAGGAGTGTTGTGCCAGCAGCGCCGCGCGCTGCGAAACTGGGGCCGTGCGGAGCCGGCGAAAGAGCGCAGCCTGGGAGTACACCCCTCAACCATGTGTAGATCAGGCCTCCAAACGCTCAAGCCTAATTTTTTGTGCGGAGAAGTACTTAAATTTAAACCAGCGGTCGAGAGCAGATCTCCGAAAGTGGCTGTTGGCCGCTTGTGTTGCGGGCAAAGTGCAGGAGTCCGCTCAACATATGGGGGTTTACGAAAATCGGGGACCCTAATGTAGACCCACCAAAGAAAGGATCCCCTATATCGTAAACCCCTATATTTCCCTGACCCTCTTCGTGCAAAAGTGTGACTGTGACATGCTGGCGGCTTCCGGTGGCTTATGGCTTATGGACATTCAAATCTAGGAATGGGGGGAGGATCGCAAACCCGGCGCATACATGTCCGGCTGTGGGAATCTACACCCGCGATGCCTCATGTCAACTTCAACATAGATGCGAAAAGCTCTCTCTCTCTCTCTCCCTCGCGCTCTCTCTCTCTCTCTCTGCACGCTTAGCCCCCCCCTAAGGGAGAGCTGCCCCGGAGGGCGCGCTCTCTCTCCCGCTCTCTCTCTCTCTCTCTCTCCCTCTCTCTCTCTCTCTCTCTCTCTCTCTCTCTCTCTCTCTCGCTCGCTCTGTGCACAGGTCCGTAGGCAAAATCGCAGACCTCAGACGAAAACACCACCAATTGCAACTTGGCCACATGGGCCTCCGATACTACACTGGGCATGAGGACCAGCACGCTCCTACATCGCAAGATGGGCAGTTTGCTGTTCCTAGTCCTCCATACGCGGAGAAAGGTTCAAATCGCCCCGCAAGTTTCAAAGGGCACCTAGCCACCTCTCTCAGCTCGGACTTCCATTCTCCTGCCAATCAGCGAATCCGGCTCGTAGCGGAGCATCTCACAAAGCCTCATCTCAGCGTAGTTTTGGGTCGCAGAGATTCATCTTACGTAGCCTTGATTTGTGCCACTTGGCGAAGCTGTGCTTGCAGCTGGCAAGGTGAAAAATGGAATGAAGAGATATTCTCAGTCCAATCAAGAGATCGACCGCTATTAACAACAACTGCGAGACATGTTTTTCTCCAAAAGAGCTCGTGCTGAAACAACCCACGTGTGTATGAGCGTCAGGTGTTGATCTGCTATATCTCTTCCAATTGGAGTGTGCAATGAGAGCGCTTATAAGTTGCGATGGCCTCGGAAGCAGTTCGTTGGGCTGTCCAGCTTCCGCTTCTTGGATAAAGCCGTTTGTGAGCACAAGACTATCTGCGTGTCCTCCCTGTGCTGCAAGGAGGAGGTATGGAACTGTTTGTTTGGGAGTCGTTGTACATCATAAGGGTTCAAAGAGATGCATACAAGAAGCTTCGGAGTGGCAAAATTACTTGGGACTCTGCGGCCCACATGCTCAGTCTCGCCTTGTGCAGAAATTCAATTTGAGGAAGCGCCTGTCGCCAAGCAACTCCGGCTGAGCTTCTGTGATGACGAAGTCTGAGTCGCAGCGCAGGGAAACACTCCAGGATCTTTCTGCACTCCCGGGCCATGGAGAGGTAATAGGAGCCTGTGGCTGGGTGGCACGATGCCTCGTGCTTCGCATTAAGGGATCTGGCTTCCTGGCTCCAGCTGTCACAGTGACTTCAGGGCCACCTAGAATTGCCCATACATAGCCCTCGGCCCTGATCTTGAAAAAAACCGCTCCAAGCCTTCAACATGCCACATTCTGGCAGCCTGATCGTCAAGATGCAATGTGAACCCCTGCCCTGACTCCCAGGCCTTCTCTTTGCGCGGCCATTCTGCGGGCTGCTCCTTCAAAACACGGCACTGGAGCTTTGGAAAACCAACATAGGGGCAGCATGGGGCAGCTACCGGGCCCAGCTGTGCCCTCATATCCCCTCGCCTGGTATGAGTTGTAAGTTATACGTTTTCGTGGGAAGTAGCAGAGGCCTACCACCTGCCTGAAGCTGCAGCTGTCGAAGCCACGTCTGCCGGAAGACCCGTTTTAGAAGCCATCGCAATGCCTGCAGACAAGAAGGATCTTGGGGGGCGGCCCGAGACTCGCTCTACAAAAAACAGTGTCTACACCAATCTAGAACAACTTAACGGGACAAGCAGCATCCATCAAAGAGCTCGACAAAACCTCCTGAGTGGCTCAGGAGGGACACTGTTTTAAACGGAGGACTGACGCGGAGAGGTAGTCGCGGTTCGGAAACTCAGGCTCCCTGGCCTTTTTGCGCACCCCTCGACAGCCTCTCGGTCATCTCGGATTGTGGCCCAAAACTCTCTTTCCCCATCATGCATGTATAAAAATATGCATATTGAAATATTTATGCCTCCCTCTTTGCTGTATCTCTTGATCTATGTGTTCACTTAACGTACAGCTGGGCTCATGGCCGCCCTGGCTGCATCCAAGCCTCGACCAAAGCCATGGTCGTCTTGGCCGGCCACTTGGCGATTGGACCGTGGAGCCGCTCGGACCTTTGATGAAACGCCAGGGGAACACCGAAAAGATTAGGGTTTCAACGTTGCGCTTAGGGTTATTTGTAGGGATGCAATACGTCCACACTGTGGGCTTAGAATTTCTAGGGACCATTGTGTCCGTTTGCCCCGCCTCACGTGTGATGACATGCTGAAAAGCATGAAAAAACATGTTGGCATGGTTGACAACTGCGTTCTCGTCGTGTGTTGCTTTTGTGAAACGACTACCACAACCTCGATGTTGTTGCGCGGTCTGACGTCTGCTTTGCTTTTTTGCTTTCGACGTTATACGCAGATTATGTTCTGGATGTGCATCACCCAAAAAAGCAGGAAAAGCTCGACACTTGAAGATTTCTCGGTTAGGTCGCAGTGCTTGGTTCGTCTATCTTCAGGATTCTGGATGGGCAGGACCCTTTACAGAGGCTGCATTCTTCACCCTAGCAGCAAGTCCATCTGACTGAACAGCTCTTGTGGATTTTGGCTTGACTCCGTCTTCGTATCGTCTACTGGACTCATCAGACCCCCAAAAGGCCTGGATGAGCCCACAGGGCAACGTCAAACAGAGGTGACCATGAACATATCCTCGCGCCATTCGTGTGGTGGGGACATGCGTGCTCTAGCCATTTTAGCGACCTGGGCAGGGCAAATGGAAATGATGGATTTAAGTTCTCAGGATGATGGATTTAAGTTCTCAGGCAAGTCAAGCGGCATCGGGAGCAAGAGCCACAACCCAATCCTGCCCTGATTGACGCCAACTGCGGACGACACGCAAGCATGTCCAACATGCAGCCCATGTTGAACCCCCCCCCCCCCCCCCCCCCCCCCCCCATGCTCGTATGCATGAAGCCTTGCTCCTAACTTTCATAAGGTCTTCTTCGCTTTTTTCTCGGGCTCTCACTTGACCCCCACTCGCGTCTCCAAGCAGCAGAACTTCGGGAACTTGGGAGTGGCCCGGTACCCTGTAGACACTGTAGACCCTGAACTCTGAACCTTCCTAACCCTACACCCAGAACGTCCCTACCCCAAGCCCTAAACATCGCTGCAGAGCCCCAACCACTAAACCCCTCAACCCTAAACACTGAAGCAAACGAGACAGCCGGAGGGTTCAGAAGGCACCCGCTGCGCCGGGCTTGATGGGCCGGTCTTCGGGGCCTTTTCGACCTTAGATTCTTAGAGTATGGGTTTATAGGGTTTAGGGTGATCGTATATATAATATAGAATTTTTCTCATCAAGACTACATACTCTATATCCTGCAAACAAAGCATATATAATATAGAATATATGGAATGTAGAATATAGAACATACAATGTATCATGTACAATATATATATATATATATATATATATATATATATATATATTGTAAAGATATATTGCTGATAAGATCTGCGATACAGTATATGGTATAGAATAGATCATCAGCGTTTTAATCATAGGGTTTAGGGTGTTTACAGGCTTTGCTTTTGCCACCTGCCCAGCCGCCTTTTTCATGCCACCGGGGCTACTGCAGAGGAAAGCTGACACCAACATCCACGCTTTGCCCTAGTGTTTAGGGCTTTGCTTGGTGTCTTCTCGATTGTGTGTGTGTGTGTGTCATCCCTGCACAGGGGTCATGCTAACCTGTATCGTCCGCATCGTTCCACTTGTATCGGAATTCAAAAGGGTTTAGGGCCAGTTTTGGGATTAGATGATGGCCCCGTCTTCTGGCTACAGGTATTTTGAGGGGAGCACTGTTCATCCAAGGGAAGCCCAGGCGAGCCCAGTTGAGAGAACTGCCAGGTTGGCTCCAACAACAAGTTGGGCTCCTTCAGGTTTTTCTATATTTTTTTTAAGGGCGGGGGGAGGGGGGGGATGGGTTTAGGGGGTGAGGTTGGAGCTGCATGAGGGTCATGTTGCGCGGAGCCCTTACAAACAGAGAGTGGATCAAGCTTGTCTTGCCGAGAACTGAAGTTCCACCCTCGCCGACCTTATTATTGCGCTGCTCTATCTTGGAAACACAAGACGGGTGGAACCGGCATCAGGGCTGCATATGCCTGCTGATCAAGATCTCTCTCTCGAAAACCTCCAGGAAAGCTTGGCTACTGGCCATGTGCCATTTTCTCCTCGACGCTGTGAGAGTAGAGCACGCAGTCAGATGCTGACACTGCTTGACGCAAAAAGTTTCGCACCCCGCCTGCTTTTCGTGGGCTTTCTTCGCCTGCAATCGGCATGCTGCATCTCTGTGGTCTGAATTTGGGGGCCTTAAACGTTAAACTCAACCTGAATTCTAAACCCTACACTCTTCTGCAGAGGGTTGTAAACAACTCAAACTTAGTTCACAGCATAGGGGTCTACGGAGTCCTAGGAATGTATTCTTGCGGATTCGTGATGGAGGGTTTAGGTGGTTTCGGGGCGTAGGGCAGAGGTCCTGGCAAGAGGCCGTTGTGGTCACTACAGTCGCTTGTTTGAGAACCTCCATATCCCATGGCGGGTTCCCCGACCACATGTTCGGGGGAGCCTTCTTGTATACGTGCTTAGGTCGGCTTTGGATTCCGATTGCAGCTTAAGACTGCATTGCTGGTGAAGTGCCCGAAGGTCAAAGCAAGACGCAGACATTCTTCTGCGACTCTTTTGTCATCCGTGTCTCTACAGAGCGTTTCCAGAGTCATCGGAGTCAAGTTGTAATGTGGAGATGTTCATGTCGTTTTGTTGGTTGGGGCTGCAGATGGCTGCAGCACAATGCACTCGGACAATTTTGAATTGTGTGTGTGTGTGTGTGCAGGTTTCGGCTCAGAGTTATGGCCGCATGAACCCGAGACACACACACACACACCCACCCACCCACCCACCCACGCACGCACGCACGCACGCGCACGCACGCGCACGCACGCGCACGCACGCGCACACGCACACGCACACGCACACGCACGCGCACACGCACACGCACACGCACACGCACACGCACACGCCACCTCTGAACCATAAACCCTCAGTCTTTTGACCGGTTGCTCACAATCTCAAGCCGCCGGACACTGGGTATGTAGGCATCAGAGGTCATCCATGTGGATTAAAGTCCATAACGATTGGAACTGGGAATCATTACGCAGGGGCACTGCAGCAATAACAGCTGGCCTTCACGGCCTCAACCGGGACAGCTTGCTTAACCTGAACATGGGATGCTGCTGCGCAACTCCAAACATGAGGGCTGGTCATAAAGGCATTGGGCCCGAAACAGCACATCTATGTGGTAACTTCTTCAACTTAGGGTTGCCACTTTATA